AAATCAGACCAGTCATGGATTTGTGAAAACCCTGCCTACAATAGATACTCTTCCACTTTGAGGAGCTTGTTTTAGGCTACCAGCTGACAAAAACCAAAGGCATTCTGACAAAGCCAGGCTTAAAAATATTAGCATATTTAAGACCTAGTCTATACAGTCCCCTGTTCATGTTGAACACTGAAGCAGATTTACTGCAGTAGCAGAAGACCGCTGAGTTCCACTTCTGTGAGTTAGGAATGGGAAACTGAGGCTACAGTTCATACCAGCTCACCAAAGATGGACAATAGAAGGTTGTCAATGTCTCTTGATTTCTTAGTCCTGATTTCTGACCCTAGGGTCAGAGTTTGGCATAAACAATATGCTGCTGCTGGTGTAGTGGTGTGGGGGATATTTTCTTGGCATTTTTTAGTGTTTAAAAAAACAAGATGTGTAAATGCAACATCCTACCTGAGTATTGTTGCTGACTTTGTCCATCCCGTTATTATCACAGTGTGCACATGATGGTTGCTTCAAGCAGGAAAACTCGCCATGTCACAGAGCTCAGATCATCTCAAATTGCTTTTATGACAATCAGATCACCCTACTCAAATAGCCCCCACACTCGCAGATCTCAGTCTGATAGATATGTTTGGGATGTGGGGGAACAGGAGATTTGCATCATGGATGAGTAGCTGCCAAATCTACAGCAACTGTAGTACTATCATGTCAAATGGAGCAAAATCTCAGAGAAGTGTTTCCAGCAGCTTGTTGAATCTGCCATGAAGAGTTACGGCAGCTCTAAAGGCAAAAAAGGGATCCAACCCAGTATTAGTGTCTGCTTTAACAAGGATCAATTTTCTGATGGTGTATTTTGGTCTCTTTTTTTGCTGTGTGGTAGCCAAAAACCACCTCATGAGGTGTTTAGGGGATAATCCCCCAATGTCACTACCATCACAGACTGTAACAACTTCATTACAGAACTACCCAAAATATATTTAAGCTACTCCCTACCCTCAAATATGAAAGTGGGAGCAAGCAAGCAAGCAAGCAATTTATTTATATAGCGCTTTCAGATCAGCCACGAGCTGAACACAAAGTGCTGTACACTTGACATGCCAAACATGATACATTGAGCATGTTAAAAAAAATGAGAAAAATAGTAATAATAAGATAAGATAAGTAATATATATATAAACACATTTAAAACAATAAAATCAGCACATTAGATTAAAACAATAAAATCAGGGTCAGACTGTGTCATAAGCCAAAGAGTAAAAATGAGTTTTAAGACGTGTTTTAAAAGTGGACAGTGCTGGGAAAGATTGTTCCACAGATTAGGAGCAGCAATAGAGAAGGCCCTGTCCCCTTGAGGATGATTGATTTGAAACAAGTTTCATATTTTATCTTCTATTGGCAACATTTTTTTAAGTAGTTTTTCATGACCAGCAATAAAGTACTGTCTGTTTGCCTTTGTTAAGCAGCTTAAATGTTCAACATTTAACCATTTTTATTTGTTATCTAATGACCAAGCTCCATTACATTTAATGCTTCAAGTATTCAATGTGCATTGATATTTCCTGTAGGGACAAGCTAATATGCAAGCTCTCATCCCTTATTTTACTGCATTAAAGTCATACCGCCGCGACCCGCTGGCTAGACAGGCCCTGATGAGCAATGTCTGAAACAATCAGTCTGGTCATACTGCGCCAGACTCCACCAGCTCTAAATGTAGATAACCATTGTTTAGCTGGACAGAAAAAAAGATATTGTAGCTAGTTGTTACAGCCTCTTGTACACTATGTTTTCTCAGAGAGCCTCATTGTGGTAATGTGCACAACAATTTGTTTTGGAAGCATAAGCTATAGTACTCATTACAAAAACAAGACAGGACGTGAAGGGGAGGGCGTGTAACAGACCATCACTGATCTCCACTGGTGGTAAGGGTATGTGACAAAAGCAAATCCTTTCACTTTTTTGTGGTTAATGGACATATCACTTTAACACTCAGGCTGGTAGCCCTTTAAGTTATTACATTTATTACATTTACATTTATTATATATTACAGGTATTACATCATCTCCTAACTACACAAGTAAGAGTTGTTTGAATAAAAAGACTGTATATAGTGTAGTTTAATTACTTTACTATATCCACTAAATATAAAACATTGTTTTATGGTTTTGTTTTATGACTTGTCCACCGAGAGACTGAATGAGGAAGCAGCTGTCTGCTTTCTGTATATAAGTATCACTGTGTGTTGTTCTGCTATGTGGAAAGCACGCCCACTTTGTCACTGTCACTATTTATGTATGAATTCAGCAGAAAGTTCTCATTAGTGTTCACGACTGCATGTTTATATTTGTGTAGCATATTGTAAGTGTGGGCATCCAGCATGAAAGCAGTTCAATGAAAGAAAAGTCAAATGGGTGATCGAGTTGGGTCAAATTCCCACTGGGAGGCGGGAGGCAAAACCCACAAATCCCCAGAGGGAACAACCCAGACTCTAATTAAGAACTCGCTTTTATGTCTGTATTTGTGAATGCACACAAACCAATATGTATGCCTGGGAGAGCGCTGCAGATGTGCGTTTGCGTCGCTGCGTTCACATCCTCATAATTTCCTTTTTTTTTTTTTTTTATTGTGCCTTAGATTGTTTTTCAGTTGGCAGTGGATGATATAGAGATTATCTAGCTTCAGCTCTGTGACAGAAGTAGTATTTGAATCCTTTATGCAAGTAAAATTTTTACTATACCACAGAGTAAATGTCCTACATTGTCCAGAAATATTCATGGAAAATGTACTTGAAATGTAAATAGTGGAAGTGCTTGTCGTGCAGTTCCTGTCAGTGTTATATTTCTGGAAAATGATACTGATGCAAAAACTTGTTCCTGTGGATGGTCAAAGTGAGCTTTTTTTAATGGTGGTGACTATTTTAACCTGAAGCATGTTTTTTAAGCTTATTACTGCTTATATATGTTGAATATCTGTTGCGGGGTCCTTACCCTACAATATAAAGTGCCTTGAGGTGACTGTGGTTGTAAATTGGCTCAATATTAATAAAGTTGAATTGAAATACTAGTCTGCAAAGTAACTTTAGCCACTACATAAATATCAGAAAGTAGAAAAGTGAAACACAGTTTAATGTACACTGTTGAACTGAGATTCAAGTCGCCGCTCTGTCTAGACACATTTATATTATACGCACGCACAAGATTCTGAAATGCTGATATAGAACATGGCATAGTGATAATGTTTATGCTTTTAATTCTTGGAGCGTGACCTATGTTGGATTTTTGTGGCCGATCCTGTTTCTGTAGCCTAAAAGCATTCTGATATAGATATTTTCAGTTTGTGTCTCCAGCTCTGTATCTAACAAGCAAGACATTACTTTACATCACGAAATGGCACATATCAGACAATATATACACGAATGCCAATATTGGTGGAATGTTTTTTTTCCAGTGTTATAAAGATGATATTTTTGGCAATGATTTGTTATTTGTGTTGTAAACAACAATTGCCTCTATAACACATTAGGTAAATGAATGGAGCATATTGGTGAACAATATAGGCTTCAGAAATTGTTTTTAAAATTTCTTTATTTTAAAAAATTTTTAAACAAATAAAAAGGTCCACTTATGAGATTTGGTTGCTGTGTGCTATGCTTGGCACAGTAGTTTGTTTTCTTTTGTTGTTGTTTTTTTTAACAAAATTGTTTAATGAATTCTTGACCATTCAGTTAAAAATGGTCCTACTCACATTGAAAACTCAATTTTAGATGAGACTTAATTTCGATTAATTTAAACAACTTTTGAAATCTATCCTGCCCAACTCTTTAATAGTCAGTTTATTTTAGAAATTTTGTATCTATTTTGAAATATTTTTCACAAACACATATAATAATTCAAGTGATTATAAAGGCAACAGATTAAACCATTTTGAAAATTACATGTTAGAGCAACGGGGTTGTACACGCTAACATGGCTTAACAGATGACATACATATGACAAGTAAATACTCAGGACCGCAGATGTATTTTTTATTAATATTTTAAATGTTTGTAGCATATGTTTGTTTTAAATTGATTTGTTTTATGGTAACAGGATTGCAAATAACAGACTGATCACTGTTAGGGCAAAGTGCTTGTAAAAAATAAATGGTAAATGGCCTGTATTTATATAGCGCTTTACAAGTCCCTAAGGACCCCAAAGCGCTTTACATATCCAGTCATCCACCCATTCACACACACATTCACACACTTGTGTTAGTGTTTTCATGGGGAAAGATGCTAGCAGTGGAAATAAAGCAAGGAAACTTGGAATTTGATTTGTGTTCTTTGGGGAATATGAGTAAGAGTGTTTTGCCTTGATTGGAGTGGCACACTCCATCTAGCCAGAAAGTACTGGAAAAATACGAAATATGTCAAAGAGGGCCTTTAGTGTCCCCATGGTGTTAGCACAAGTTGCATGTCTATCACCGTGTTGTCTCTTCCTTTAAATGAGTTCCGGTAACAGCGCTGCAAAATTATTCTTTAAAATATCTTGATGGAAAAAAAAAGTGTCAACTATTTTTAAGTAGATTTCTAAGTCATTTTAACATCCTATTTGGTTACAAAGAAGTTGAGAAAATGTTCTCAAAGAACTGTTTTGTATTTTAAGGCTTTTAAAAAAATTCTCTCAGGAAAAGTACAGTTTACGCAACAAAAGTATCCTTTAGTCTTTTGCGCATGCATTATTTTCAAATTCATGGGTGGGACAGAAAATACCCTGCAGACTGTAGAACGGCCCACGGACACCTTTAAACTCAACAATCAGTTGAGCACATCATCCTTCCTTTGTTACATTCCTCCACTGATTGACTTTAATTTAATCTCATGTCCGTACATAGAGATGACTCTTAGTGTCGTTCGTCACTAAAACAACAAACCTCGTGCCATCAATTGCTGTGCGCGTGCGTGTATGTGTATTGGGAGGAGGGTGCTGCTAAAATAATGCCCCGGCTGTTCTGATATCCCACAATTCTACTCTCGGCTGCATAGTGGAGTTTGATAGGCTGGTGGAGAGGGGAACTGCAGCAGAGTAGCACCGCTGTCAGGAAACAGAAGCCCACTACGAATGCAACTCGCATAACCAGCTGAACGAGGACGCCGTGTCTGGTAATAAACCCATTTTCTTCGCTGCTTGTCGTTTGTACCATTACACCGAGGCTCACTTAGAGAAGATGCAAGTTTCGCTGCTTGAACGGCTCTTTGTGAGGTTTTGTCTCGTGCCACATTTTCGATCGCGTGCTCACAGCACCCGCAGCCGATGACAGATGATTAACATTAGAGTACAGTTTTACTGTATCTACTCAGGCGGAAAAAGTCTAGTGGACGTGGTTAACCGAGTCAGAAACGGGGGTCATATGGTTTTTCTTTCTTTTTTAATCCCACTGTGGTTTCACATTGTAACCATTCGGCGCGTAACACTGAAGCAGAAAATGTTGCTTTTTGCCGACTGAGCTGCCTGCAGCGGTGGTTAATCTGAAGCTAAAAGTCGGGGTATGCACGGATATTTTAAAGAAGCGCACCGCTTGAGGTGAAGCTGGCTAACGTGCTCAAGTTTCGGGGCCAGAAAGTGGGTGAAATTGGTGAAATGAGACGATACAGATGCTTGTCCGACCTTCAATCCCTCCCGTTTTTACATCAGTGAAGGAGAGCGCTGAGTCACTGGCAGGCAGTGTTACAATTTGCAGACAATTAATGGATTAAAACTGTCAGATTGTCCGAGGTTAAGACGACACACTTCGGTGTTTTTGATCTGCAGTGCGGTAGGCGTGGTTAGGGGCAGGATGACACGGTCTGGATCCTCTTTTAGCATCCTTACATCCTTGCTGCCACAGCATGCAATGGCTGGAGACTGATTTGACAATTTAATTAAGATGCACAGTAAGCTGCTGTTGCAGTAGCATTGAGAGGCAAGAACATTGTGGGCCTTGTAGGCAGGGATTCATAACTCGTTTACTGAGGCTGCACCTCTGTTTACAGCTTTAGTTTGCACAGTGACAATGGAGGAGGCAGTCTTTTCATTTCACTCAACAAAAACTGCTGAGACCATTGATTTTATATGAGGAAGACCCAAATTTATATTGGTCAGTATTGTTGAATCATGATTTTTGGCTTGTATTTATACATATATAAACCATAATTTGTCTCATATACTAAAGAATAAGATGCTCTGACATCTGTAGCTGTGATACAAATGGTGACTCTCATATCAAAGGCTACAAAGATGAGCAATGACCATTTGTAACTTTTTTCTACTTCTAAATGTCACTCATCAGTTATTTGTCCAACTGTGTTTGTGTGTGTATATATAATGTAAAAATGTCTAGACAGACAGGTGACTTGATTATAGCACTTTCATCATCAGGATTTTGTAACACAAAAATCACATGAATAGCTTTGTAATGATCTGATCATTACTAAAACATATTTTTAATAGTAAACCACATGACTATGGCTCTGCTAGCTCACTCAGACATCAGTGTATCTTTGTATTTTTTGTTGTTGTTGTTGTCTGTAACAGCTCATCAAGCTGGATTAGGTTGTAGAATTATGTTACCTTTATGTTCTAGTAGACACAATGCCATGTAGTGACTGCTCTTAATGGGAATGCACTGGTATTCCATCAGTATTTTTCAAGTTAGTCATTCTTGGCCTATTACTGTCCAGTGAGCATAAAACTAATTTAAAAACATAATGAGCAAATGTGCCTTCAAATTTACACAGTAAACAATGTAAACGGGGAAATAAAAGGTTTATTTTAACTTTTTTTTTTTTTTATTAGTGCCAGCAGGCATTATTAGTAATTAAGTCAGATTTACTGATTGTAAATCTCCTAAAATGCTTAATCCCTTCTGGTCCGTCTCGGCCACAGTATAAGAAGTTATTAGCTTCTCATCAATATACAGAGACTTAGTTCTAATCTTTTACATCAACAGGGGTTTTTCCCTTTGTCAACTAAGGCAGACAACTCACTCGAGAGCCACTAACTCCAACAAATCCTATCAGACAGATTGTGTTTGTGTTACCCTTTCACAGAAGTCATCCATGGCCTTAAGCAACTGCATGTCAACAATCCCGCGTTGATTGTGTCGCACGGTGTGCATAGTCAGAATGCAATAACAGTACCGGTAAGCTAGCTGTGTTGCCCACCGAATCATCGGAGGCCTCACTGCTAAAGACAGTAATGTAAACGCAGAAAGCCGACAGGATTTATGGCCGCCTCAGCAAAAATGCTCCCTGCTTGGAGTCACCTTCATGTGACCAGTCTACCTTCCCCAAATTCTGCTCTTGAGGTCTCACGTGTCAGCTAGATTTGTGAGGGTTCAACCAAAGGGCTTTTTAAAATTGACATCTGAAACGGCTGCTAAATTATATAATCAAATGTGCAAATACTATTTGATCAGATGTCACAAGGCCGTTTTCATGGAAGTCTCAGCGAAACCTTACAGGGATCATTTGAATGACTTGCACTCTTAAGCTGTAAACTGGCAATGGAGCGTACACACAGAAGCCATAAACCATCTGCCTCAGATGCTTGCTGAGTCTAAGATTTTACAATTTCACGCATTTATTGTCTTGCAGGGACCTTTTACAGAGAGTTGTTTTTGGAATGTCTTTGCTGGCTCTTCAAATGAAACCCATGTTTTTAATTGTCAGAACTGTTGACATGCTCAAATTTTCCTACACCAGAGCAGGAGAACATTCAACCCAGTGTGGTATAAAACATCTGGGTCGTGTAAAATTCTTTACTCAAGTGCACGACTAAAATGCACAAAGCTATATGAAAATGTTGTAAGGAAGGTTTTCAACTCAACTTTTGATTAACTGGAAATGGCAATAATGACCTCTATTTCATTGTTGTCACCTTGTGTGATGTCCAATCAGGTTTTTGTGTTTCAGTAAACTCGGAAGTTTCCTGGGATGATGCTGGACAGCATTTTTGGCAGAAGTCTTGAAGGTTTAGGAAGTTCTAAAGCTGTGATTAATCTTTTTTTTTTTTTTTTTGATTAATCTGGTAATTGAATTTGTTAAGACAGCACTTGGCTTTTTATATATGGCGGTAATCTTTAGATGTCTTTTTGTGTCACAAGTACAGCACAAACCCAAAACAACATTTTTTTTAATTAATTAATTTTTTTTTAGTAAAGTAAGAGGAGGTAGAGCTTTAAATAAAAATGTTTTAATTACTTAAGTTATTTATTTTGATAAATAACTATTTAAGTAATAAACTTAATTGATTTATCTACTAAATCTACTAAACCACAGACTTCTCCAAAAACATGTCAATAATTTTCTTAGTCAGGACAGTTGATGAGACTTTGGGGATCTGCAGGGGTGCCTAATTTGAATGTCCAGACCAGCTACGTGATATCTTGTTACAGCGGCTGGGTTTTGGTCTGCGACAGCTGTCGGCCCTGCGGCCATGCAAAATGGTCAGATCTTATTTGGCAGGCCTGCTCGGGATGGGCCTTGACGTGTCAAGCAACGCAGACTATTCCCCTCCATGTAACCTCCATAAGTCCCTGAGGGGTAATGATTTTGGGGGCAGGGGCGGCAGGGATGGGCCCAGCTGTGGTGTACTCTGGCTAATAGCACTCGGCACAGATGGCAGTCCCTCATCCTCCCATGTGTGTGCATGAGACTTAATGTGCACAGGCCCCTTTCCAGCAGTGTGCATTACAATCACACATGGCCCTTAAATGGAGGTCTGCATGCATGGGCAGTCCTACTACAGTATTTAGTGTCTGTGATCAATTATATAATAATGCAGCTACACACCGATAAAACCCTGGCTGCACTTTTAGGATGGATGTGAATATCCACTGCAGTGTACAACCCAACCATTACAGCTCAGTGGGATTTTATTGGTCTGTCCAGTGACAGACAGCAGGTTTTATTAACTGTGGGCCTCTTTGGATTCACAGAAGGATGAAGCATGATAAAGCAGTATTAATGTTTCTTCAGAGGTGGGTGGTTTCTACTTGTCCTTCCTTGGAAGGCATAACACAGAGAGTATTAGCTTTTATCTTAAGGTGTGACTGAGGAGACTATATCTGCTTTCATCAGCTCACATTTGACCGTGAAGCTACTAATCCAAGAGGTAAATTTGATTATATCTTTGACACTAAGTGCTTTTTTTTTTTCTTCTGTAAGTGCTGACTTCTACTTTTATTACTTCCAGAATTTACAGGGGGAACAAACAGATGTTTTAAAACTTCCCATTTTTATAATACGCTTCTGTTTTAGAGACGGTTCCCAGTCAACAAAATGTTTTGCATGTAACTGATTCTAGATCAAGTACATACATTAGTGAAGTTGAGGTGAGAGGATGAGCAGTAATTTAGTTGCTTTGTCAGCACATTGAGTTGTCTATTTCTGTCCTTATATACCTGTTAAAAGGTAAATCTTGTAAGTTTACTAGAGCCTTCAAAAAGACTTGAACTTGATAAAATGGCATTGAACCCTTTCTTTTCCAAACACACATTTTTGAAGTACTTTGGCTGAAACTTGTCTTCTATATTGGTACAATATTGGGCAGCTACTAGCAGAAATCCCAGGCAATACATGGCTTTCTTTCTGAATGCATAATTTATGTACCAGTCCATGGTGGAGGGCCACACACAGGACTACTGTGTAGGCTGTTGTGTTGCACTGTGAAGAGTGCCTGTCACCAGTGACTGAACTTATTCTTCCTCCATTTCTATGGTGCTAAGATGTTCCGTTCCACCACTCCTTCCATAGTTCCTTTTTCATAAAAGGATTAAGAAAGGCAAAGGTTAGCTACGCAGCCATCTTCTGTCAGCTGATTAGTGATCCGCGCCTCAACTCTGCCGCACATGACACAACAAAGTTGCAGCGAAAGAGGTTTTGACAGGATTTTTGCTTGAATTCAGCTCAGTGGTCTTTTACATTTCTCGTCTTCACTTGGAAAACATGGGTTGGAATTTGGACCTTGTGACTTTATTCGTTTATTCAAAGTGCTGCTGCTCAGGCTTTTAATCTTGATTAGGTCATCTTTATAGCCCTTTTTATGAGGTCTGAAGTTGAAAAGTGTTTGATCAGCACGTTGCATTCAGTGACCCTTAGAGCTTAGAATGCTCATGACTTTTTAGAAAGCATAGTTTCCACTGATTTGAGTCCATGAATTACTGTTGCTTTATATCAGCATCATTCTGATCCATTAAATGACCAACAACATGCTGGTTTGAAGTGTTTCTGCTACTTGGCAAAGTTTGAGTTTGCATTATTTTTGAACTGCTAGTTTGAAGCAATTCCATCAGGATTTAAGAGGAGTGCTCATTAGCAAAGATGAAATATTTTCTGGCATTCAAAAAGCAATTGCCTGTTTAAGTAAAGCATCGTTCTGCATTAGAATTAGCAGCTAATACCAAATGGCTTTGAATCAAGGGGCTGACAACACAACCTTGAGTCTATTCAGCTCAAAACTATTTTGAAGCTAAAAAGTGCAAGATGAACAACACATCCGAGGCATGAGGTCATGTAGTCCAGCTGTTGATAATCTAGACGCATGGAGCTGGACGTGTTTGCCAAATTTAAATCTTTAAGGTTTTCAGAGATTTTTTTTTTCCAGTCTGGTAAAATGTCTTGAAAGGCTTGTAACAATCAGATGTAATCAGTCATACCAAGTAGATGTTATCTTGTTTTAATGTGCTCAATGTTTGAGTTGCAGATGTTGCCATTTCTTAATGACTGTTTGATTATTTTGGGGATTGTCCCTAAGAAGTGTTGGTTTTGTTGATCCAGACAGTGCTGACCATGCCCACAGCTAGAAGTAGATCTTCCTTGGAATCTTCCATGCTTGCAGTAAACACAGCCCTATAAATAGAGCTCAGGGAAAAGCATACCAGCAGCAGAATGACAGGCATCCATACTACAAAACCCAGGCTCTGTGCAGCAGAGGCGCAGTACGCCGTTCCACACACAAACAGCCTCCAAACCCCACATCCCAGTGTCAAAGACTGTGGGTACAGTTAGCCTCCGGTGTGAGCTGTCCTTTCTGTCATTTTTGTTTGTCAAATCTAGCCATTAGATATATCCTCATTACCCAGCCTCAGGCCCTTGGGACCACATCCATCGCTGGTATGCTGCTATTCACAGAAGCAGAAGGTCATGCCATGAAAAACACGTACTGGTGCAGCTCAGACACTTTGGATTCCTGAGTGTAAACACTACAGAGAAACTGGGGGCTTGTACTTTAATACAGAGTTAATCAGCTGTTTTGTGTTGTTAAAGTAACTGCAGATAAGAAAAAGGCAGATTACTTTCTGCTTTCTCCAGTGAATTGCTGCTTTTCATTTAGTTTTCCTCTGTGGAATTAATATATTTAAGTTTGATTTTTTTTTTTTTGTTTATTTTTGATATTTGCTTCGAAAATGTAAAATATTTTCCAACTTCAAATTCCCAGAATTGTCTGAACAACAGGTAGGAAGCATAAAGTGATGTTTTTTTTGTCTTGTGCAAAAAATAGTGGAGCTCCACACTGGAGAGCTTGAGATGTTTGACATTTCCATCGGATTCATTCAAATATTTAATCAATTTAAATCGTTTTATTATGGTTTCTCACTTAATTTCCTCCTAATCAGCAAATTAGGCCAATTTAATTGATTTACACATGTAAAATTTTCACAGATGCTTTTATCAGAATGTGAAACAACTGCAGAAGTTCATAAATTATTTGATTAATAAACTGACAAAAGTAATTGGCAAATATATTCAGACATTTTCCTAGACTTATTTTTTCTCATATTTTAGAAACCAATTTATAAAAAAAATACTTGCAGAAATAGATATTTGTTACAGTTGCAGATATTATTTTAAATTTGTTTAATTCCCCTTAGTGAGCTTTGGATATATTGTAGAATTTGTTGACGTCATGGTACAAGCAGTCCAAGCCCTTAGCATTGTCAGCTACTGACACTACTGTGATTAGTTAAAAGGGGGACGTGAGTGCACCAAAGCCACTTGCATTCATGCCTATTCTGCTGTCAAACAATATCCACATCTCTGCATTTGCATCAGAGGGGAGCTTATCGTTAGACGGGCCCGAAAAGCGGCACTGCATCAATTCATAACAAGTCAGCTGACTCATCCACTTTTCCTCTTTACCCTCCATTTTCCTCCACTCCAGTGTGATTTACCATGACAACTGAATCAGGCGCCGACTCGGAGGCCAAGCAGCCACAGGAGAATAAGGAGACAGAAAAGGGGAAAGCAAAAGCGGCATCCCAACCCAGCCAGGTGGCAGCCGAACCCGCCTTGCCTCAGAACCAACCGGAGCAGCTTCCAGCCGCCGTCGGACACAGTACCCCGGCCAGGAAAGAACAGGTCAGCCTCTTTGTAACCACATCCACCCACTGTCACTTCTTTTAAAAATGGAACATCCATCCATCGCATCCACCATAATTTTCCTTTAAACATACTTTTACTGAATTTAATATTAGGAAAAAAACAAAACAAACTTTGCCACTTTATTTAAGAATGATTCTTTTGTGGTGTAAACATTGTATAGATCCTTTTGAATTTGACAAAACATTACACACCATTCATCCCTCTTCTGAATGAATTGTGGCTTTGTGAGGAAAAAATGGAAATGAACGTGGGGAGGGGGAGAGAATGTGAAGACGTGACCTCAGTCCTCCATGGCGGTCACAACCATGCGTCAGATGCATTTGTTTGTTTTTGAGGAAAGCCTGGTGTTCAGTTAGAGCTTTATATATTAGAAATGGGAAGACGGATAGATCAAGAAACCTTCAATTGTGGATGCTTTGTTTTCAGGCTTTACAGCAACTAAGGCAGTTTGACAGATATAGTCACTGTCACTGATCGGCCACACGCACGGGCAGTTTGGTGAGGGATGATTTTAGTTGTTTTATTTTGCCGTCTTTGTGTTTTGCCTGTTTCACAGGTTTTCTAAATAACTTGTCTACATAACAGCAAGGATGCCACAGCCATCCTTGCTGTTATGTTGAATAACTTATGAATGTAGTTCAGTAGAAACCTGGCATTATTTGCAATCATCACAACAATCATTTGTTGTACTGACTGTTTTTTTACATCTCTCCCAATTTGCAACTTCCTGCAGCTGTGGGGACAATGATTGGAAGAATTTAGGGAACAACCTGGAATTAAACCCGTTGAGTTGAGTCTGAACTATGATGAAGACTTGGTGTATTTTAAAATGTATCCATAAGATTGCACACCACTTCGACGCATGAACATGTTTAAATGATTTTACATGTTTGACAAAGAAGCTGGACGAGTCTAAAACCAGAGAACAGTGATCTCTGGTAGTATAATATTATACCCTGTAGCCTATCCATGTTATATCTGATGAAGCCTGGGAAGCTACTGATGTTATCTGAGCACTAAGTGCTTGTCTTCAGGTTTTGGCCCAAACAGCCTTCTGGCTCACTATTTAATCGATCTACAGATTGAATTTCCAGTGCTTCCAAACTACAGAGGTTCAGTGTGAGGTAGATCCCTGCTTCTTCTCTAATTTATTACTTGAAAGAAAAACATTTTCACCAGCTGCACATGCTTGTAGATGTGGTCTCTTACTGTGGTAGTTAGTGGAAAATGTATATAAAAAGTTACATCTCAAACAACTTAACAGGTCACATTCCCAGTCTACATAGTGTTTGTGTTGCTTTAAACGTCTAGGATGTGTTTACTCACTCAGAAAACTTTAAATCCATGTTCAATATTTTTTTTTTTTTGGTGACTTTGAACTTTGAACTTCTTAATATGTTGGAGCGTGTAACCATAGTTTGAATGTGCTCAGGCTCACAACCCCACTCATTCAGCAGGTTCTTATCATGATATGGAAAGGAGAAGGATTTAAATGGTGCCTTTGTTGAAAAGAAGCTTACACGTGAATCATAACAGGCTGTAATGAGAGAGCAGCAGTCGCAGGGCGATGTGATGGATAAATTAATTATATACAATGCAGGGTAATGTGGTGAAACGGTGATGAAATAAATGACATGTTTTCATGTTAACAAAGTCTGACTTGTACAATATTTTGCATTGATGTTATTGATATCATTTGTCTACATTAAACACTTCTGTGGTAGCCAGATTTTAATTTCAGCTTTAGGCTTTACATGGGCGCAGCATTGCTTTCATTCAGATGCTAAAACTTGACTGTGTCTGCAATCTTTATAAAGCTATTTAGCGTTGCTAAAAGAGCAGCATATTCCCTTTGGCCTCAGTTGTCCTTAGGAATGGGGTTTTTAGTCATAAACCAAAAATCTTGGACTATTGATGGCGCTGGATTCAAAATACTGGGAATCCAATTACTACCCTGTCTTCCCAGGGTAATGCTTATTTGTGCTGCATTTCTCAGACATTAGTCAAGCACTTGGTGAGATATTTAAGATGTATACAGAGACTGGATATAAAAGATGGGTGTAATATGGCCAGCACAAACATGTGTTCTGAGAAACCGAGGACACTGCGTGCTCACACAGTAGTGACTCGTCAGTCACAGCATAGCCATGTCCTAAAGCATTCCTGCTCCGTCATCTGCTTTTATCGAAATCGGGATCAGGAATTGAAGCAATTGAATGGGCAATTGTTACCATAAAGTGATTAGGAAAGCACCTGCTGGGATAATAAGGCAAGTGAGAAGTGGGATCATTATCTTACAGGTTTCTACCTGAGATTTCTTTTTTGCATATAGATGAGTCGCTCCCTGCTGGCCACTAGAGAAAATGCTAAGGCAGCTCCCTTTTGGCTTCACCTCTCAGGCTACAGTTTGTGGTTTGGTCCAAAGTGAACATTGCTATTCTCCTAGATCCAAGTAGCTCCAGGGGAATAGTTATACATATATATGATCTTCTTTTATAACTTGCAGTGTTGCCCACTGAGCTAATCGACCCCAGGATTCTTTCAAATTCACACAGCAACATTATGCACCCCTTGTTTTTCCACACTGAGGATGATCAGTGATGCACCATCAGTGTTAGAGCTGTGGGAATTGCCAGGAGCAAGACTGAGGGGAAATTGCACCAGTCTGACACAACACTGTCGGCCTTCCCTGCGAGGCACGTTCTCCAGCAGGGTGCACATGTAACTGTGATTTCATACATCTGTGGTGCCTGTTCTCACCAGTCATACGTCAAAACAAATGGGGGGGGGGAGAATGTGTTTTGTGGTATTTCCTAGAAATGTTAACTTGACCTTTCATTCTTGTGTTCTTTAGAGTCATCTTATTCTGCTTCTATTGTTTAATACTACATCAAAATGAGTCTACGGGGAGAGTAGTCCACATGAGCTGCAGTAGATACTGCAGGAACAATGCAATGAAAATGGCTTGAAGAGCAATATAAGAAATGTTCTTCATCAGAATAAAAGGGGGGAATTAAATTCACTGTATGTAAGAAAGAAAAATATCTCGAAGCAACGGCGTCTATTCAGCATAAAGTCAGTCAGCAAAGGCTTTGTTTTCAGCGAAGTGGAAAATTGGATTTTCTCTCCTTAAGACAAAATGGCGGTACACCCCTAGCTGTTCTCAGTGGGACCTGATTACACTCAGTCAGGGTCCCAGTGTCTATTTTTAGGTTTACATTAACGGTCATTTAGGTAAGGAAACTTCTCTTCTGGTGGACATTTAGAGACGTTAATGCCTCTATCCACAATTAGCATGACAAGGTAGAAGCAGCTCATTACTTTTAACAAGGAAGTTCCACTCAGCTCTATCCCAAATGTAGAAAACTGTTATTGTAAATGTATTATTCTCATTATTTTTAAGTGACACATTTTCCTCTTTTTGCCAGGAGCAGCAGGAAGAGGATCTGGTATCCCACAGGTCATCCACCAGTCGTCTGTCTAGGTCTCCGCTGAGAGGAGTCAAGAAGGTGAAGATCATGCAGTGTAAAGTCACTCTGCTGGATGGCTTAGACTTCACGCTCAATGTAGAGGTGAGACGCTTTAAGTTTAACACAGAGTGGTGGTCATTTTAAATATTCTGTTTCCATCAGCTTCGTCACTACTTTAATATGTAAGAGACTCGAGCCACATGGAAACTGTTCAGGTCCAAAAAGAGAAGGCAAGAATCAAATCAAATCACTTTTATTGTCACATCACATGTGCAGGTACACTGGTACAGTACATGTGAGGGAAATTCTTGTGTGCGAGCTTCACAAGCAACAGGGGTGTGCAAAAATACAATAACATAAGAACAAGCAAAATATAAGAATGGCTAAATCTGAGAATTATATGAATAAATATATGTACAATATAAGAGTGTATGCATATTACTGAATGTGTATACTAAGTGTGTGTGTATACTGTGTGTGTGTGTGTGTGTGTGTGTGTGTGTGTGTGTGTACATATTTAAAAATTAAATGGAGTAAACACAAATAGAATATACAGAGGTTAGCAGTTGGATATTGTGCAAAACAAGGGGCATTACTGTACAGTATGGAGTGCATAATGTTGAAGTTCCAGTAGTGAAGCTGAGGTGTCTATGAAGTGTTCAGCAGTCTGATGGCCTGATGGAAAAAGCTGTCTCTCAGTCTGCTGGTACGGGACCGGATGCTGCAGAACCTCCTTCCTGATGGAAGTAGTCTGAACAGTTTATGGCTGGAATCCTTGATGATCCTTCCCGCTTTCCTCAGGCACCGCTTCCTGTAGATGTCCTGCAGGGAGGGAAGCTCACCTCCAATTATCCGTTCAGAATACCGCACTACTCGCTGGAGAGCTTTGCGGTTGTAGGCGGTGCTGTTGCCATATCAGGTGGTGATGCATCCAGTGAGGATGCTCTCAATGGCACAGCGATAGAAGGTCCTGAGGATGCGGGGGCTCATGCCGAATCTTTTCAATCTCCTGAGAAAGAAGAGGCGCTGCTGCGCCTTCTTCACTGTTTTGTTTGTGTGTACTGACCACGTAAGATCCTCAGCCAGATGTACACCAAGGAACCGGAAGCTGCTCACTCTCTCCACAGCAGCGCCGTTGATGGTGATGGGGGTGTGTACTTCTCTGCACCCCCGGAAGTCCACTATCAACTCCTTTGTCTTTGCGACGTTGAGGGTGAGATGGTTGTCTTGACACCAGTGGGTCAGGGCGCTGACCTCCTCCCTGTAAGCCGTCTCATCACTGTTGGTGATAAGACCCACCACTGTAGTGTCGTCCACAAACTTCACAATGATGTTGGAGTTGTTAGTGGCTGTGCAGTCGTAGGTGTAGAGTGAGTATAGGAGAGGGCTCAGTACACACCCCTGTGGAGCACCAGTGTTCAGTGTGATGGGGGATGAGGTGATGCTGCCCAGTCTGACCACTTGGCGTCTGTCAGACAGGAAGTTAAGGATCCAGCTGCAGAGGGAGCTGCTCAGTCCTAGATCCTGCAGTTTCCTGTCCAGCTTCGAGGGAACGATGGTATTGAATGCTGAGCTGTAAGCTACAAACAGCATTCTCACATACGTGTCTCTCTTCTCCAGGTGCGAGAGGGCAGTATGTAGTGTCAGGGCTATGGCATCATCAGTGGACCTGTTGTGGCGGTATGCGAATTGTAGAGGGTCCAGTGAGTCGGGTAGTGCAGAGCAAACGAAGTCCCTGATCAGCTTCTCGAAGCATTTGCTCACGATGGGGGTCAGGGCTACAGGTCGCCAGTCGTTCAGTGAGGAGATGGTGGAGGATTTGGGTACAGGGACGATGGTGGCCATTTTGAAGCAGGCTGGGACTACAGACAGAGAGAGGGAAAGGTTGAAGATGTGTGTAAACACTCCGATCGCCTGGTGGGGACCAGAATCGGCTGATTTCTAGTGTTTTCAGCTCTGACTGCTGAATGGCTGGTTGGCTCCCTTTATGTCGTGTTTCTATAAGAACTTGTTTATGAGCCCTGTTCCATCACATTTGTCAAGTAAAGTTATCTTTATTTTTCCTTCTGCATGTGAAATGCAGCTCATGGCGTTCCACTGCACTATTATTATTATTATTATTATTATTATTATTATTATTATTATTATTATTGTTATTATTATTATTATTATTACAGTTGAACGATGTGAGCAACCTTACGTATTGCTTTAATATATAAAACAAATGTTTCCTGTCAGGGCGTCAGTGATCATCAGTACTCACATGATTTGATAGCTTGTGCCAGTGGTCTTCTCCATTACCCAGAATTCATCTGTGTGTTACTTTTATGATCCCTGCACGTTGTATTAACAGAATAAAGCTGCTGTTTTGACGGCCCTGCTTAGAAGCAGTGATTTCACGCTTTTCTCTGCACACTCGCATTTGCATTGTCAAACTGTTTTATGGGATTTTGTTTTTCCTCCAAACCTTCTCTGGGTAGTCTGTAGGGGGGAACAAAATATTCATGTAATGGTTCTTAAATGTTCAGTTCTTACTTCAAAGCTCATCTGCTCTCCAGAAATAAACCCTTTGAGGAAAAGAGAGCCAACAATCAGTGGAAAAACATGTGTCTTTGTGTTGTAAATGTGAAACTCGGAACCCCACACTAGCCTAGAAGCATGGCTTTTATCATAATATAGGGAAATTAAATATGGAAATGGGATATTTTGGGAGGAGAAGAAATGGAGCATGAGTTGGTTGTTAATCATTATTAGCATGGCGGGGTGTGGATGGAGTCATTACTTTCAGAGCTCGATAATCTGTCAAAGAATTTTATTTATTTATTTATTTATTTGTCGGTTTGCTGTGTGGTTTTGACCAACTGTGTCAGACTGTTTTGAATTTCTCCATTTGTATTATCTTATTATTTCTGCTTTGTAAAGTTTTTCTAAAGCAGAACTGTTCGCTTGAGTGGGACCCTCTGATAAGCTGCAGTCTTTAAGTATCGAGTATTCAGGAATAACCTCACAACTAATAGAGCCTTTGAGGCAAATTCCTTTCTGTTGTAAATATGAGTTTAGCTCCACAGCCGAACAGCTGCTTTCTGCCCTTCAAACAGTCTTTCTTTCTGTCTGAGTGTCATTAATTCAGGAGTAAGTCTGACTTCTGAACTTATGTGACATTTGGCTCATGAAATATTTCTTCCATAGCAAAGTTGAGTCTTTTGTCAAAGTTAGGAAACTTTGTAGGATTCCCAAAACGTGTTCAGGCTGAAAAAGAGAAGCAGACCCTCCTCTGCAAATCTCCTTTAGTGGATTCCTCCCCACCAGGGGCTGGGATGGAGGGATTGGCTGGCTGGTTTGGGGCAATGGGGGCAATTGTTGGAGGGAATCGGTGTCATTGACACAGTGGGTTGGCATGATTACGAAGGCCCACTGTGCCACTGGAAGGACTTTTATTAAGGATGGTGATGTGGAAGTGGGGGATCAGTCCAGATTTGTTAACCTTAAGTCAGGAAAAGTTTTTTTATTTGTTTTAGTTTATGCTGAAAGAGCTACACATGGTCTAAAATATGAACACTTTAAGAAAACAAAGACATTTTTGAGAATTTTCAATTAAAAACATTTCATGTTTTATTGAAATGTTTAATAAATGTGTTACACAACCTGAAAAATTCAAAACATGACTCTGAAGCCTTCTTTCACAAATGGCAGGTAATTTAACCCTCGTGTGACCCTCGTGAAAAAAGGGACCCAAACGGGACCCTTTTTTCACGAGGGTCACACGAGGGGTAAAGGGGTATCTCACCCTGGGTGGCTGTAGCTCAGGTGGCAGAGCAGGTCAGAGCAGGTCAGCCACTAATCAGAAGGTCGGTGGTTCGATCCCAGGCTGCATCCTGGCTGCATGCCAAATATCCTTGGGCAAGATACTAACCCCATGTTTGCCTACTGGTGGTGGTCAGAGGGCCCGGTGGCGCCTGTGTCCGGCAGCCTCGCCTCTGTCAGTGCGCCCCAGGGCAGCTGTGGCTACAATGTAGCTTGCCATCGCCAGTGTGTGAATGTGTGTGTGAATGGGTGAATGACTGAATGTAGTGTAAAGCGCTTTGGGGTCCTATGGACTAGAAAAGCGCTATACAAATGCAGGCCATTTACTAATTTACTGCTGCTAGGCAACGTGCCTTCTGTGTTATTACCAAACATGGCTCAAGCACCAAAACACAAACACAACTAAGCAGCATCTTTGGTTTTAGTTTGGCTTGGTTGGCTTGTAAATGGTTTAAAGTAAGCTTAATATTAAGAGATAAAGGTATTTAAGCCAAAGCTGAGATAACCTTTACCACCAAGGGTTGTTGTTTTAGGTTTTTTCTGACTGAAGTCCACTCCTCCAGATTCACAGAAAACGTTATTGATGCTTTTCTTAAGCAAACTGATCTTGTGTGTGTAATCAGTAGGGTTACACCAGACAGCAGCAAGATGTGACCTAATCGTGTGCTTTCAAACATGTTACCTTATGAGATTTATTTATAATGTATCAGTACATTTGTTTATTTTAATTGAGTTTACTTCAGATTATTATGAATAGACAGTCAGTTATAAGGAGCTCACAAAAGAGAAAAATTGATAATTAAATAAAGTTTCTAATTTTAAATTCTTTTCTTTTTTCATCTTAATACTTAGTGTTTACTTATTGCATCCCATCTGCTTACTATCCTGTAAGCTCCCAGTGCTGCCCACCTGCTAGGATGGGCAAAGCAAAGGCTTTCTTTGCCCCACTTTACTATTTCTGAACACTAAGATCCATTATTTTAGGGAATACTTCCAGATGACGGTGGATTTGGTGTATTAGAGGGGATATGAACTACTCTGTGGAGTAAGAAATATAAAGCAGAGAAAAGTTGACAATTGTATCGTCTAAAATGTTTGATTATACAAAAACATCAAGCAAAAATGAGAAAATTCACATTTAACCTTTAGCTCATAGCTCAAGCGTAGCTCATTGCCTAGACTGTCCCGTACTTATAAAACGTGAAGTTAGTGCTTATTTAGTTGGTGTCAAAAATGTTACTTTTTTTGTCTTTTCTTTTTTACCATGGACCGAATTGAACCAGAAAAACTTTTTTTTTTTTAATGCTAGATTGTATTCCATCCATCCATCCATCTTCATCCGCTTTATCCGAGGCCGGGTCGCAGGGGCAGCAGCCTAAGCAAAGAGGCCCAGACCTCCCTCTCCCCAGCCACCTCCTCCAGCTTATCCGGGGGAATACCAAGGCGTTCCCAGGCCAGCCGAGAGATATAATCTCTCCAGCGTGTCCTGGGTCTGCCCCGGGGCCTCCTCCCGGTGGGACATGCCTGGAACACCTCACCCAGGAGGCGCCCAGGGGGCATCCTTGTCAGATGCCCGAACCACCTCAGCTGGCTCCTTTCGATGTGGAGCAGCAGCGGCTCTACTCTGAGCCCCTCCCGGATGGCCGAACTTCTCACCCTATCTCTAAGGGAGAGGCCAGCCACCCTTCGGAGGAAGCTCATTTCTGCCGCTTGTATCCGCGATCTCGTTCTTTCGGTCACTACCCACAGCTCGTGGCCATAGGTGAGGGTAGGGACGTAGATCGACCGGTAAATTGAGGGCTTCGCTTTTACACTCAGCTCCCTCTTCACCACGACGGACCGGTGCAGCGTCCGCATTACTGCAGCTGCAGCCCCAATCCGTCTGTCGATCTCCGACTCCCTTCTCCCATCACTCGCGAACAAGACCCCGAGATACTTGAACTCCTCCACTTGGGGCAGGAACTCATCCCCAAGTGTGTGAATGTGTGTGTGAATGGGTGGATGACTGGATATGTAAAGCGCTTTGGGGTCCTTAGGGACTAGTAAAGCGCTATATAAATACAGGCCATTTACCATTTACCATTTATCCCCGACCCGGAGTGGGCACTCCACCCTTTTCCGGCTGAGAACCATGGCCTCAGATTTGGAGGTGCTGATCTTCATTCCCAGTGCGAGCTGGAGGCCCTCACCCGATGAAGCCAACATCGGGTGAGGGTGCTAGATTGTAAAAACAGGAATTTTTATCTTATTCAATTGTTTATCTATTACTTTACTACTTTGGTGTAGTATAAATGGTAATTGGGGGGGGCTTTATTCATAGGAAAAGCTGTAAAAGTTCAAAATCTATACACTCGTTCACATTTTCCAACACCTTCCAGTGGGTCGAATTGGAGTCTGACATGGCTGATTCTGGACCCAGGGCCTTTCATTTGACACTCCTGGTTAAATGAATAACAATATTGTTACAGTGCAGTTTTCTGCTTAGAAATGCACAACATAGACATTTTGTGACACTGTGTTAAGAAGCAGTGCTTTTTTTTTTATTTATATTTTTTAATTTGTGGGTGCAGAAATTTTACACCTACTCGGGACATTTACTTTTCTGCACACCTTTTTAATGAGTAATGCTACAAAATCAGGCTGTGTTAATCGATGCAGTGGCGTGCATGACACCTGCTTGATAATGCTCTTAATCACAGTAAAGGTGTCTCCATTTGTGCATTGTTTACAACAGTGACTAATACTTGCAATCACTATGATATAAAGCAGGAGACTAATAAGTTCGCTGCTTCCTGTAAGGCTTTTCATAGCAGCAGTTAAGGCACTAACATGACCAGTCAGAAGAATTTAATTTCAGCTTTAGGGGGAAAAAATGCTCTGTATGCTCCTGCAGCTGAGGGTGAGCCGGACAAAAGCCAGGTCAGCTTATGGTGTTTAACACAGTAGTACAGCTGATGTCAGAAGACCCTCATAATTGCCAGGGAGTTCTTTTCCTCCTCCCAGTCCAGACTTGAAACTGGTCCAGAATGTCAGGATTTGACATTTTTATCCTCCTGACCTTGTAGTTTTCCAGCTCAATTTAATTTCCTCCTGTGGGGGGAAAAATGTCCGCACTAATCGTTTCCTATCATTTTCTATGACACAGAACAGCTGAACCGCTCTCCCTCACTTCAAAGGTTGTTGGAGGCAGAAAAACATCCCACACAATGTGTTGAATTGCTTTCAGTTAAATCATCCTTTCTCTTAAGGACATGAGAATTCATGCTAAATTTTGGCTTTAATTAGAGCTAAAGTGATTAGTCAGTGAGTCTGTTGGCAGGCAGTTATTTAGCCTATTTTGATAGTCAGTTAATCAAATTTAGTCTTTTATCTTTGTGAAATTATTATTGTTGGCTTTTGGACAGTCAGTTGGATGACACAGGATGCCTGAAGGGAACAAAGACTCTGGAAAAATGTGTTGTCTAACATTTTATAGGTCAAGTAATGACTGAAAGTGTTCTTAAAATGACTAGAAAACTAATTAAAGTAACAGATAAACCATAATGCATGGTTTGATGCACAATCAGTTTTTAATCCTTAGGAGTGTTTAACCTCTGTGACGGTCTCACTGTCCTGATTGATCAAGCTTTCACAATTTAAGATCAGTATACTTCTGATTTCTGGTCTTTCTTCTGCTAGAGAACTCCAGGAATACGTGTGCAGTACCCCATTAGCTTATTTATAGATATAGTTTAATGATTGGCAGCTTATTTGACTGATCTGAAAACCTCTGTTTGCATATCACAGCCATTTTTTTTTTTTTTTTTTTTTTTGTCTGCGTCATTTAAGCCAGCCAGCTTTAAGTGTTGCATTAAGAGGAGATTGTCACACCCAGGCAGCAGTAGTCTGACATAACTGTGCTAATTCCCTCGGAGATGTGCTCATGCACACACCCGTTAGTTCTTTGTTTCACATCCAGGATGTATTATTGCATCCATGTGAGTGTGGCAGATAAATAGCCGTGTTCTGAATAGGTTAGGCTGTGGCTGTGGGCTTCAGCCGATCCAAACGTGACGAGCTGGCATTGGTTTTGTGCAAGCAGAAGACGTCTGTGTCATGGCAACTCGGGCCTTAAAATATCCTCTGTGAGCTGGTCAAATGAGTCCTGGAAGTCCAACCTCTTCACGAGGGGGGGATGACAAAGCTCCAGCTGATGACGTCCAGCACTCAGATGTGCAGTCGATCGATGTAATGCATTCATGCAACCAATGGTCAGGAATTTGAAAGTGTGTTTATGCTTTTTATAGAGGAAATCGATCCAGAGTTGCCAGGTTGGTGGATTGTGTCTCCGGTACCCAGGCTTACATCACGCAGCAGAATAATAATAATAGTTTGCTTCATTTTCACAAATTTATATTCATAATGGGGTTTTGCAGAGATGAGCTCACTTTCATTTAATTATCGAGATAACAATAAGAAGAGAAGGACTTGAAGGGGAACGCAGTCCCACGGCAGCGTAAAATAGCTTTTTAAGCTGCAACATGGATTAATGATATTGCTTTATTGTTTGTGTTTATCATTATTTTGTGGGTAATTGTTAAGCAAATCAGGACAAATGAAGAGTTTGCATTACTGGAAAAACTCTTAAAAGAAATTACACAATCCTACTAATCTAATTCGGTGTGACTGTTTATTTTAAATGAGTTTCTGTGTTCTGTATGTTCAAATGTTTCACATCAGTATACCCATCAAATGACTCTGCATTCAACATGTGCTTTTATTCTTTTTCTGTTCACAGAAACGAGCCAAGGGCCAGTTCCTCTTTGATAAAGTGTGTGATCACCTCAACCTACTAGAGAAGGACTATTTTGGCATTACATATAGAGATGTAGAGAATCAAAAGGTACTTTTTTATTTTAAGGCAATCTTATTAACTAACATGTTATATATTTTTACTTGGAAAGTGGTTCATCGACGGTAGGAAATGAAGTTAAATGTTTCTTTCAAGAAGACATTTATAAGATAACTGTTACATATGCATACCAGGCAGGATTTCCCCCTCTGAGTTCTTGGTAATTTGCTCCCAAATTAGAGATGATTTCATGTTTCATCTTCTGTGGTTGTCTCGCAGAATTGGCTGGATCCTTCCAAGGAGCTGAAGAAGCAGATCAGGAGTGAGTGCAGCAATCCAGTGAAGCTACCTGATTGTTATATCTTCTGAATTTCCAAGTGAAGCCTTTGATGTTGTTGAATGTTGATTTTTAATCATTTGATGTTCTGTCGATACCTCAGCTGGACCCTGGAACTTTGCTTTCAATGTAAAGTTTTACCCACCAGACCCCTCACAACTGACTGAGGACATCACAAGGTCGGTTTTGCTGTCCTTTGCTTATGTTCTTCTATAAACCTTTTATAGACTTGTATGCATAAAAATGTACTTCTAGCACTTAAAAATCTCAGGAAGTTTTCAAAGAAATGAGAAAATCCAGACATTAGATATGATTTTTTTTTTTAAAAAAACACGAAATTGCAGTTTTGTTTACATATATATTGTATATTTTGTCCTCATTCTCTCAGGTACTACCTGTGCTTGCAGCTGAGGGATGATGTAGTTTCAGGTCGCCTACCCTGTTCCTTTGCCACCCACACGGTGCTGGGCTCGTATACAGCGCAGTCCGAACTTGGAGACTATGACTCAGAGGAACTCGCCAGCGACTACCTCAGTGAACTGCGCTTCGCACCCAACCAGACCAAAGAGCTAGAGGAGAAGGTCATGGAGCTCCACAAGACTTACAAGTTAGTATCTGTAGTGCTATTTATTAATAGAAAGAGTCAGAAGGGTGTCAAATAGTCCAGTGAATTTATTATTGGTGGTCATAAACATGTCACTTTAAATTTCTTCTGTGGAAATGACACATGACATGTTCGTAGAATGTTTTTAGAAAATATAAACTGCTTTTCTCGTCTCACTGAATGGATCGCATATGATACATAGAACATAAAAGGACTAGTGCTGTCAGCGTTAATCTCGTTAAAATGATGTTAATGTCGTTAGTGAGTTAGCGCGTTAACGTCAGTTTAACGAAATTAACGTTGACAGCACTAAAAAGGACCCATCATTTTTTTTCTACTAATAAAATGCTCTGTTTGCATTTAGTGATGACATGTGTGTAATAAGGTCCTCTGATCAAATTCTTCATAAATCTGAAGTTGAATTGCACATCTAGTTTTTATGTCATTATTAGGCCTTGAATCAATCTGTGAATCTGAGTGAACATTCACAATCTGACCTAAGTCTCTCTTTTGAGCCCCCTCATTCCCCTTTATTGCAATGATTTGTCTGTAATTTGATGCTGGTCCATTGGCTGCAGTGACATTTCCAGGATTAGGGTCTTAGACAATAGGGCTGCCACGATTTGTCGACTAGTCACGATTACGTCGACTATCAAAATCGTCGACGCGTCGTTTGAAACTTTGTACGATCACAAAAGACGCAGGAATAAGTGGCAGGATTTAAGAGTGTAATAACGGACTGAAACAGAAGATGGTAGCATTGCATGTACAAGGATGTCAGCTACCGTTAAACCCCGAAGAAGAAGAAGAAGAAGCAGCTGTGTCCCAGAATTCATAGCGCGGCCCAGCGCAGTTTCCAACAATGGCGGCAGCTACTTAGTTTTAATGTTACTCTTATTATTCTTTCTGGGTCACAAAATAAACGTTTAACATATTTTCAGGCGAGAATGTAGCTGTGTAAACCTCAAATATCTGCTCAGTTTATCAGGACACCACATATTTTCAAAAGCGCTCCGACGTTTTCGGAGACATCTGTTACCCACTAGCTCGTTAGCGAGCCGGGGGCTAGGTCACTAGCGCTGTGAGAACACCGGACTCCCCGCAAATCGTTTTCAAACCCACCGCCGTCTTTCGCTACTCAGGTTAAATATATATGAGTCACTTAGATAACTTAAAATGTTGTTGTTTGGCTTTTTTTTCTTTAGTATTTTATTTGTTCCTGAGTAAATCAGTTTGTCTGAGATTAAAGTTATAGTTTTTACACAGCTGAATAAACGTCAAGCAGACAACTGATTATCAGAAGTGTGAGATGCTCCAGAATATACTCCAGTGTCCTGTTATATTTTAGATAGCAAGGAGTTTATTAAACTTCACCGAAACAATCTGCAAATTTCATTAAAATGTAATAAACTATCATCTTGTCTTTATTTTTAGTTAGCACAGACCTTAAACACTTAAAGCTGTAAGCTAATGATAGTTATATAAGAGCAGATGCTGCTGGTGCAATAAGCTGTAGTTTTACGTCTAATGGATGCATGATGTGATTAGTCGACTAATCGCAAAAATAATCGGTGACTAGTCGACTATCAAAATAATCGTTTGTGGCAGCCCTATTAGACAATCTAAAAATGGATACACTTAGAATTCTCAATAGAACTTCAGCTAAAAACATCCATGAAAACAGCCTTTTTCCAAAATCTTTCAAGCTATAATCCTGCTAATAATCCATGTAGAGATTTTCTCTCTCTCTCTCGTCACATTGGTCAGAAAGGTTTAAGTCTGCTTTTAAGAAAAAAAGAGAGGTTTAAATCTCTTTGCCTTACGTGTTTATGTCTGACGTGCTCTGTTGTGTGCATTCAGGGGGATGTCACCGGCTGATGCCGAGATGCACTTCTTGGAAAATGCCAAGAAGCTATCCATGTACGGTGTGGACCTCCACCACGCTAAGGTAGCAAATCGCAACAAATCTTAAGTATTTATTTATTAATATTTCTTACAACACAATGATATATCAGTCTATAGAATTCAACCTAACTGGTTAATGTGAAGTCAAATGTGGAAATCGATTTAGTTGTTTTTTTTTTAAAGGTTAACCTGTGAGTTTTTACAGCGTGCTTCATTATACATGCAAACCAAACAGTAACTTTTTTCCCCTCTTTACAGTCGACATGTGCAAGAAAGCAAACAACCATCGCTCAGTCTCATATTTACTCATTAAATATGAAGTTAACATTGGCACAGAGTCTAAAAGTCTCTCTCCCACCAGTACATGAATATATCGCTAATTTACACAAATGAGAGGCTTCACCTTTATGTGAGGTTAGAATAGTCTTTGTGTAAAAGATGGACTTAGCTACCACGATATCACAGAGGCCTAAGATAAAAACACCAAAATGTAAAAACTAGTTATTTAATTTGTTACTATAAACAAAGAGGTGGAGCTGAAGGACTTTCACCTCGTCAGACGTGGTGGGTGTTTCAAAACAATTCATGTTTTTCAGAATGTGGACGTAAACTGTTTTTGGCGTTTTCTGTGTGAGGTCTTATACAAACACATCACCCATGTAGTCGGTATTGACGCTTGCTACCACAACACTGCTGCTTCAGACACATCATGGCTGCCACAGTAATGCCTCAATTTAACATGCCACCGCTGCTCCCCTGACTGACTGACATTGTGTCACTGTTGCCTCTCTGGGGATGGGATGGGTTTAAGAGGGGCGATAGGTGGGAGGGGGTCTGGAGCCCAGCTTGACTTGGATAATTTCCCATCCGTTTTATTCTACTGTCCAGATTGGATCAAATATGTCACTAGAAAACGGGCGGTAAAAACAGAGAGCTGGTGTAGGACAGCGGGGCCGCTGTTGTCATAAAAGAAAATTACAGCCATCAGTCTTCTTGATATGAATCTGTTATCAAATGTGCTTTGAAAGTCAAAAAAGGGTCTAGATGCACATGATGGGGAGGAAATTGCCTTCACAGATTTAGATCAGAATAGAGGAGATGACAGAGATGCGGAAGCGGCCTTGATCAAACGAGCAGACATCAATGCTCAGTGTTGCTTCTGTGAGTCACAGTTTTGATACACGAGAAAAAGATGTACATATCAGACCAGCATCCCTCTTTTGTCTTCTCTCCTCTCTCACTAAATGCAAAGTTGGTAGGGAATCTCTATGAATGCTTGGCTCCAGCTGAGGGAGAGGTAAGAGGCTGCTTTCCATGTGCTTTGCCCGAATGAGAGCGTGTGTCTATGTGGTCTCTACTTGTGCATGGTTTCCTTCAAAGGTGTCATTTTAAGCACCCCACAAATCACTTAAGGCTGGTTGTTCATGCTTTGGATCAGCGCCTGCCTTTTCAAAACGTCATCATTCATTTTTACCTGCTCATCTCATGCTTTGTGCAGTGAAGAGCGTCATTTTTGTGCTTCATCCACCATTTCCCGAAACTTCACTGTTCCTTTTGCCAGTTGGAACCCCTTCAGTCTTAATCCAAACTCCACACAGCCTGCATAGAAGAGTTTAGAGTGCCATATGCCTGAATCTACTCTCCACCTGCCTGCTTAACCCTGTTATTATCACAAACCTGGCTCTTATCTTAAACTCCACTTTGTCCTGCTGTGCACCGTCACCTAAACGCCTCCCGTATATCCTGTAGAGTCTATGGAAGTTCATATTTTAGAGACCACAAAAAAGAAAAAGAAAACGGTGCCGTGGTCAGTGAACTTCTTTGTAAAGCTTGTCAAGGACTTTGTGTTAAATAACATCTTGTAAACAATATTTCAAACATAACGTATTTCCATATTTTGCTTTGTCGTGTGTTGATGTTTGTGTTGTTTCCAGGACTCGGAGGGTGTGGAGATTATGCTGGGAGTTTGTGCAAGTGGCCTACTCATCTACAGAGACAGGTTGCGGATCAACAGATTCGCCTGGCCCAAAATCCTCAAAATCTCCTACAAAAGGAACAACTTCTACATCAAAATCCGGCCCGGCGAGGTAAAGATACGTTATGAAGATACTGGAAATGACTTTCTTGCAGCAGCAAACATAAACTAGAAACCTTTTTGAAATTGTGTATCAGCTATAAAGACCAGTAATTTAAATTCTAACACGTGTTGTTGCCACTACATTCATAATACCCCATCTCTGCTATGTGTGCATTGTAGTCTGTAGCTGATTTATGTTGGAAATATGAATATAAAATTAGGGCAGGGAATTGGGTGATTGTAAAATGTGTCATTGAGATCTGTGGCAAAAGTACAGCACTGGGATTTCACTATGCTTAAACTAAAAAAATACATATTTATAGAGCACTTTTAAAAATCCACAACACAAGGACAGCAAAAAAGCAGTCATGGGCCTGATCGTGCCATCCATTATACGCTTTATTTGACTTGATTGCTAAGTCGAATGGTGGGATGGAGGTATGTTGGTGTGCACTTCCTCTTGCTTGGAGACTAAAGCAATATTCTGAAGAGCAATGGACCACTCAGCTGGAGTAGAGAGAGACTGAGTAACAACAACTTAGCTCTCAGTTGCCTGGCTGGGCGTCTGCATTCAGCCAGTAGCTACTAAAAACCCTGTGGCAGCAGTGGGTAGCACTTCTTCTGGACTTCATGAAACATCTCCAAGAGCTGATGAGTTTTTGAACAACCTCCAGGGTTAAGAATATAATGGAACCACTATATGTAATTTAGAGGCAGATGATTTTAACTTTGATTTATTTTTGAATGGCTGCACTTCTAAATATTGAATGCAGCTTTACCAATTATTGCTCTTAGCTTTTGAAAGTATTAAACAAAGTAAGGCATCTGCATTTAAACTAAAGCTGTCTTGTTTAGCATGTTTGTTTCAAAGGTTTTCAAAGGGGACACTAGATTGCACACAGTCAGTCAAACTTCAGGGATGTCAATCTGTCTGGTTAGGATATGTTAACCAGTGTGAATTCATTTCCTCTACCTTGGTGCACAGTGGCAACAACAAGACAAGCACCAAAAAAGAGAATTGTTTTGCGGGTGGTGGCAGCAAACCATTGCGCCTCCCGTCGTCTCTCCTGATTACTTTTGGTTTTCACTTGTGCCCTTGTCACTGCTGATAGCATGACCTGCTGGTACCTGCAGCCCTGTCAGGTTGCACAGGTAGTGCAGCTCCTCCAGGATGGCGCATCCGTACATGCTGTTGCAAGAATGTTTGCTGTGTCTCAAGAGTATGGACAAAATACCAGGAGATGTGCTCGTGCACCATTCATCCTGTTTCTCCTCACATAAAGCAGCAGATGCTTGTTGTGCAGCTGGGTTGAAGCTCTTCAGTCCAACTCTCCCTTAATAGCCCCCATTTCCTCACATCAGACAGCAAAAGTCTGTAGCCATCACCATTCCCTTTATGTGGGCTGTCTTGTTGTTGCTTCTTCAGTGCACTTGTAGTCACTTTGATTTGCACAAAAACAAATGAAGCAATGGTTTCTGCTTCACAGTGTCACCTTATTTTATTTATTTTTAGTAGTTTGCATTTACAGCTTAAAAATAGCAAACAACTAACAACAGTTACATTTAGAAGCAAGCAGGGTTGTAGCTCCTCGACAACGATACTTTAACATCAGCTTCCTTCTAAATGTGACAGTGCTTAGTTGCTGGATTTTTCAAAGTGCATGTACTTTTACTGCAAAGGGAATTAATTTCAGTGTCTAGAGCAACCGGGGAGAGCGTTTATCGGTGTTACACACACACACACACACACACACACACACACACACACACACACACACACCATCTGTACCACTGATACTCTGAGGAAACTTGACTCAAACGCCATCAAGCTTAACTTTACTATATTTAGTACTTTCAAAAGCTAACCGTAATAATGAAAGTGACTTCATGCAGTAATTTGACAATAAATCAACAGTTCAGTTACTGTTTCATGTATGAAAGAAGAATGAAACCAAACATTACTAGAATAGTTGACATCAGTTCTTGCAGAAATCTCATGAAGTAGAGAAGAGCCAATAACTGCTGCTGCCTCTGGGCATCTAGCAATTACTGGCTAAGTTCAGCAACGCTTTGGGGAAAAAGAAAGTTGGGCGAATTTCCTTCTTTGTTTTCAAATGTTAATTTAAGTGAACACAATTAATTCTGGTATTATCAAGCTAGAATGCAAAGCAGTTATCCTTTTAATTAAAGACAAATACCTTATAAAAACACATTAATATGATTAGGGGGAAAAGTAATGAATTGTGATTGTCAAAGGGATCTCCATGGTGACTCATACCACAGCATTTTGTCTCACTTGCAGTTCGAGCAGTTTGAAAGCACGATTGGTTTCAAGCTTCCAAATCATCGTGCTGCCAAAAGGCTCTGGAAAGTCTGCGTGGAACACCACACCTTCTTCAGGTAAGAAAAAGCAACAGACCTGTGATGAGAACACAGCATTGAGAAGTTTTAATTATAAATAATATGTGCACCTCGGCAGCTCAAGCTTATTCTCCACTCAATACCATGCATAATACATTGTTTCCCAAATGAATTTGTGAATCAGACATGTGATCGTACAGCTTTGTCGGCACAGATTTACTGCTAATCATTATACACGAATTCATGTCGTGAGAGAAGCATCGTCCAGACTCTTAATAGTTGTTGCCGTTTTGAAAACATGCGAAGTTTGTTCATTTAAGCAAAAAAAAAAAAAAGGGAGGTTTTGAGTAGCGTGCTCAGCCCCACGGCTCTCTGGGGAATGTTCACTAAAGTAGCAGTTAGCGTTTCAGAGCACTATGCTTAAATCTGTGTTTTTATTTTTGGTTTGAATAATGTGAGTGTTGGTAACTTCTGACAGGCTCGTATCCCCCGAGGCACCCCCAAAGAAGTTCCTGACTCTCGGCTCCAAATTTCGCTACAGCGGCAGAACACAGGCTCAGACACGCAGGGCCAGTTCTCAGATCATCAGACCTGCTCCGTTCTTTGAACGCACCTCCAGCAAACGCTACAACATGTCCCGCAGCTTAGATGGAGGTGAGGTGTTGGTTTTTCAGAGACAGAGATTCTTGGATGTGTTTCTGTACAAGAGAAAGTTGCTATGCCTCGGGAAAGTGGAAGAAAAATATTTTCACCTGACTGTTAACGTAGCTGTTAAATTTTTGGTGCATGTTTAGCAGCACAGTGACAAATGCATAAAGGATATAATAGCAGCAATGTCCAGGAGCAAATCAAAGCTTTTTCACAGTGAATGACATGCAGTTGGCCATCACATCCATCTTTGTCCTCTGGTGTTTCAGCTCCAATTATGGAGAACCACGAGACCCTGATGAAGGACAATGCTGCTGACGGGGAAGCCAAAGTCATTGCCAAGGGAGACATTATCACCACTGTAACAACTGAGAAAAAAGCAGAGGAAGAGAAGGCTGAGGAGGGGGACGCTAAGAAGGACACAGCAGAGACACCAGAACCTGCTGCCACATCACCGCTCAGACAAGACACAAAGGTAAGTTGCTGTCCACATTTAGACTTCAAGGACTTCAGAGACATTGGATGTTTTCTGTTTGATTCAGAGAGGTGCTACACGTGAAAGACTAAGATTGTTTATTAGAAGCTGCAGTTATTATGTTTTAAGCCCTTTCTGAGATTTTAATTTTGCTTTCTTTCTTAATAGACTTCTTCTTGGCTGATGAGAATTTCCCACTTGCTATCAGCTTAACCCTCTGCAGTAGACAAGGCCTAAATGCTTTTTCTCATTTTCTGTGCGCTTTACTAATTAGCTTTTCTTTTCTTGTTTTTCCTTTGACCCTCACACTATACTCGTGTGTGTGCTCATGCTTATTCGCCCCCTTCCTTTCCCCTACACACACACGGCCATCTCTTCATTGTCATTTCCCTCCGTCAGTGCACCCCTCATGCATTCACATCTGACCCCCTCCGTTCTGAGCTCTCGCTCCCTTCATCCCCCATTTCATCAACTAAAGTACGGCGCAGGCACAGGGAGAACGCCCGCAAGCGGGCTTCATCAGTCAGTCCAGTCAAGAGCAGTACCGGGTGCCGCCGCCGGCAAGCCCGCGCCGACCATAAAGCCGCCCTGCTGGAGGAGCAGGCTCTGCTTTTGTCAGCCCGCAAGCAGAGGCTGGAGCAGGGCAAGAGCCGGGGCGGCACGCTCTTCTCCTTCTCCCTGCACCTGCCCGACCTGTCGTCCATCCTAGATGAGGATGGCTACATCACATTCCCTGACCTGTCAGAGATGCGCTTCCTTCCTGAGTGTGCGCAGAACTTCCTCCCCATTAAGTCACCTTCACTCATCCCCTGCTTCCTTTTCATCTTCTTCTTCCTGCTTTCCACTTCCTTCTCTGTGCCCTATGCCCTCACCCTCTCCTTCCCGCTGGCGCTGTGCCTCTGCTACCTGGAGCCCAAGGCAGCCTCCCTGACCGCCTCCCTAGCCCAGAGTTACCATGACCATGACAGTTCAGAGGAAGAGGAGGTGTGTTTTGCAGACGCCTGTATGTTCCAGTACCCGCCCCTGGCTTAGAATGACAGTCCATGATATCGGTTAACCCCTTACCGTGTCCTCTGCCGTTTCACCAGTTCAGAGCCGACCTGGAGACTGTCTGTCCCAGTGTCTGTCAGTCTCCTACTTTCAGAACCTCATCTCTGCCCAGTCACATTCATCCTGTAGACTACATCCTCATCAGCATCACGAGTACACGGAGATGAACTTGCAAGTCTCACCATCTCATATTTGATGTATGTTTAAAGAGAGGGTTAGACACAAATAGTCAGGGACATTAAGAGCTTCTGAGCTGCTTCAGTGACACGTTACCATGAACTCTCACTGAAGAAAAAAAACAGTTCATCATGTGACTATTTCACTATCTGAATGAGCACATTGTGTTTACAGATTATGAGTATCAGAAGAAGTCACCTGTCTTCATTTAGTCACTAATCCTTCACCAAACCCCACAAAGAAAAACACGGCTTTTGTGGCTAACCCATCTCAGTGTTATCATGTACATTCAGGGCTTTTATAGATTAAACCGTTATCCATACCAGCTGCATGGGAACACATCCATATATATCTGCACTCAGTCTCTCTGCATTGCGTCCAGAAGAGCAGCACTAATTAAAATGAATCATTCAAACAGAACATCAGCTGAAAAGGGCACCGAGTGTTTCGGTGAAGAGGCTTGCCATGTGGAGTGCAAAGATGTGCTACCTTTCCCTCAAGCAGCACTCTTTGCAGTCACCAATTATGAGTGTAGTGTAATACACGCTGTGATGCAGAGAGACGGTGACCGATAAATGCATCCTAATCACCCCAGCATGCATGACGTGAGAGGAGGGGGAGGGCCTGAAAGTCAGGTTACTGTTCGGCAACAAATTTTTACTGTCAAGTGTTTTGTGTTTGTACAGTGACTACACAGCAAATGTCATATCCACGTGGAGTGATTGACATAAACCAGGATGTAGCCTCTCGTAATCACAAATTTGTATTATTGATTTAAAAAATATATATCAAATGTTACCCTGAAATGTCAAAGTGACTGACCGAAGGTTTCATCTTCCTCTGAGTCTGTTTTGCTTCTGCTTATTTTTCATTTGCTTTTTAACTGTTTGTTTTGTGGTTGTTCTTTTGCAGAACGTATCTGCAGTATTGTCTAATAATCTGTAGCTGACAGTGCAAACAGCCAATGCATTTCCATCTTCCCCATTATTGTGGCTATGAAGAATTTCTGTAGAGCATAAATGCAAATAGTCAAAAGTTCACAAGTTTGGTTGTTCTTGTTTTTCTTGCTTTCGACTTGGACCCGTTTGGGTGTGTCTGTGAATGCAGACTGACAGCGAACAAACTGATTTTGCCTTTGATGGAGAGATGACCGCTACAGAGGTTTGTACACAAAGAAAACCATCATAATTAAGGCATGCAGGAAATACAGAATAAAAAGGAAAAGCAAGGAAGTGCCGGTGAATTATAGGTCTGGTAACCACTGAAACGTTTTTTGCGAAAATGCAAAAGTCGTGTATGTCGTGCTCTGGATCTTGTTATGCCATTTTAGTTCCTTCCCTTTTTTATGTATTAAAATGCATGTCACAGTATCTGCACTTTTATCTCTTTATCAGTCTTTTCTACAGACTCCATTAATACTGACTGTTGGCTAAGCCCTGCACCTGTTGCAGTGTCTGTTGATGATAGACTTTAATTTGTAATACCTAAAAACAAAAGCGTTTTTTAAACGAAGAGGATTTCAGACAGGCTTCTTGTGTCTGTCTGATTTCATCATCTGAAGTGAAAAATATTGCCAGATTCTGTTAGCTTAAGCTCCTGTAATACGCTCATTTTGGCCATAAAGGGGGAGACATAACCATCCCAAAATAATTTGGATGTTTCTATCTAATCGCTTCTGAAGTCTGGCAGCATCAGAAATAGCTGTTGCTAGAAGCTAATGGCTAAATACTGGTGGTTACACTTAAAGTCAGAAAAGAGAGCTTTTTAAAGAAAAACTCATCACACAAGTCAACGTCCACTTGGTTTGTGGATGTTGGTAATACTTGTTCATTGATTTAAGAATAAGCTCAATAGCTGTGTAGTATAGAGCAGAGAAAGTCACTGTTTATTCAGTTTCTTCCACTTTTTGATTTGGAAAGTTGAAATGAAATCAGCTGCCTGATAAAACTTGCTGTCAGTCCTTTTAAACCTGTGGAAAGATCCAAAGGTGGACATGGCTGCAGTTCCTTGTTACATATTTTGTCGTGGACTGTAGTTGTTCAGAGCCGGGGATTAGCTAACTGTCAGTTTCTGTTCATTATCTTTACCCGTTCCTTCCCTCTCTTACCTCTGCTTGCTTGTCCTTGTTGCTCGCTTTCTCTTTCCCTTCACCTGTTTTTTTCCATCTGCGTCTCTTCTTTAATAGCGCATTACTGTCTTGTCTCACTGTCTCTATGCTTTCCTCCTTACTTGCTGCCAGTCTGAAGCAGATGAGGACTCTGAGATGCGGACGCAGGTACACCGGGCTTGCTTCGCAGCCCTGCTCAGTGCATCACACCGACATCAGATGCACTGAGCCGCTCACAAATCAGCCATCAGTCATTTTGTTCAATCCATCTGCCTTCGCTTGCCTGTTGCTGCTGCTGCTGCTGATGCTCACTATCATACCTTACATCAGACTCTTGCTTAAATCCACTGCGCAGACTTCTGCTGCTTTTTTGTGGAGTCGTGGTTATGTTTAATTTCCTGCTGTTGCTACACCCAGGACTCAGATTTCAGTTTTCAAGGTTCTTCATAACCTGTAACTTTTCAGTGCGTTGAAGCTTACCCTCATTTGTCAGTCATACTGTACAAACCGAGGCTCCCAGTTTCTCCTAAAACTATTTTGATTTTAATAAAGCATCTAATTCCCTTATTTACAGTTCCTCTCCCCCTTTCTTGTCTTTGCAGTATAGTTTCATAAGACGAGTAAAAGGGGAAAACGTTTTTATCAGACATAGTAATCTGATGCTAGAGGTTGGTAAGAAAAAAATGCATGACTGAAATGTGCATGCAGGTTACTTTGGTAAGAGGAAACCTAACTGGTAATCGAAGTGGTAACAGATGTGTCTAACTGATGAGTGGCTGCTAGTATTTGAGATTTTGGGGAGTTAGACTTGCTGTGAGCATCCAAATGCATTCTTATGACAAAACAGGCTAAGTTGAAATAGGTCATTATTAACCTTGAATGAGATTTGGGAGTGTTCTTCTTAACTAAACCTATGAAACTAAATCTGTAAATCTCTGCATGAAACCAGTCCCCCCCGCCCCAGAAAATTAAGCTAGTCTTAAATGCTTCTTTAGCATTTCAGTACAAGCTGCTACTTTCTTAACAGCTGCCATGTGGGTGTACCTTTTTTTGCTTTTGTTTTGCGTTTTGTGCTAGCTGCTGCACAGGTAGCCTGGACAAAGTCCTAAACAGGCCTGTGAACAATAAGTATGAAGAGCCGAGGAAGCAAATAATGCAACTGATTTAGGTCTGCGGAAGTTTACGTCGCAGATCTTTTCCGAGCTGCATTTTATGCTGTCCGCGTATTTTTGGTAATTCTTTGGAAATGCAAGCTACCATTGCGTACATGAAGCATGGCCGTCGTTCCCTCCGCGCTGCTCCTGCCCTCATCATTGTATCACGGTTGATCGGCCACTTTAGGACACAGAGCCTCCGGCGGAGGTCGTCAAGCACCAAACCAACATCAGCGAATTGAAGCGTTCCTTCCTGGAGACCGACGGAAGCATCGCCACGCCTGGTCTGACAGAGTGGGAGAAGAGACTCTCCTCGTCCCCTATGCGCTCACCTAGATCGGATGAGGCACCAATGATAGAGCCGCTGGAGCTGGATGTAAGCTGCAGCACCACAGCAGACTGAATGATGGCATGTGTGTGTAGAGCATGACATCACCAAGGAGATTTCCTTTGGTTTTTTTTGCTTTAAAAAAAAAAAAAGTAGTCAGTTCAGGATTTAGTGCACATTGACTCATAAAGCAGTAAATTTAATATTCATAATGAGCCTAGATTTTTATTTTTTCTCAAATGGTGCAAGTGTGGTCACACATTTTGCATCCCAAATGGTTTTAGTGCATATGAAAGGAGACGATGGGCACCTTGACAGAGGAGAATTATCTGTAAAGTTATTCAGAGCTGAATAAAGTTAATTTCAGTGAGTGTGTTTCTCTTTCCCTCTTGTCAGCTCATGTCTTCGGTAACTGATTATCATATTAATTTGTCTCGGTAATGGATGATGAAGTCATTAATCAGTGGTGTGATTGTTGTGCTCAGTGACATGTGCATTTTTATCAGAGTTTCTCCTTTACTTGTGATGTGTAAAATTATCTGATGGACTTGCACAGGACAAATGAGCGGCACTAATTAAAGTCTGAAGACGAGTCACTGACAACCAGTGTGTCTGACTAAAAGGCAAGAAGGTGAAGGAGCTTTAGGATCCAGAGTTGCCACAATGGAACATGCGGTTCCACTGGTTCTGCCCGTTCTTGTATTTTTCTTGAATATATGTGACTTTCTTTAAATGTCTATTTATGTTTTGTTCCCTCTGCAGACTAAAGAAGATGAGCCAGCAGCAGATGAGACAAAAGAGGTGGAACCTAAAATCACTGAGGTAAGCTGCTTCCACTGAGTTAATATTGAACATGTGTGAGACTTGTTGTTTTTGTTTGTTTGTTTGTTTTTACCTTTATCTATGTGGAGTTACTTGTAGCTTGTGGTTCTTTGAAAGAACAGTGTTTCTGTCAATTTCTGCTTTTTTTTTTTTCCCCCTCAACACTCTCTAAGCTTTCTTTGGCCGCTGTTTGAAAGCTTTTAAAACGTCCTTTTTGTCTTTTCAAGTTTAGAAACCGCTAAAGACTCATTAGTTCTTATAGTGACAGTACCTCTGTCTCTGCGGAGGGACACTAGAACTTGCAGCTCTTGGAGAAATTGAAGTGTGATTACTAAGAGCTGCAAATTGCCTGTGGTCGTTGAGAGTAGGACGCCGTTGTGGTGCAAATGCATGTTTTTTCCAGATTTGATTGTAGTTGAACAAACCATTAAACTGTTGTAAGAATTTAAATTGACTTGACCACATCCACAAAAGTTGGTTAGCAAATCACAGAAAAACAACAGAAGAAATCTCAAATTAAACCTATGGCCAGTGTTTAGGACTGCCCAGTCTTTAAATGTACTGAAATATGTAAAATGTTATGTTAAGTTTGTTTAGCAAAAGGTGTGTGTGTGTGTTTTCTCCTTGTGCGTTCTTTATTTCTGCTGTGTATTGGCTTTGTCATGTCCTCTGTCTACTAACTTGAACGATCCATGTCCAATAAGCCAAGTGTCTCCCCAGGCAGCAGGTTATCTGGTGAAATATGTGGTGGATAGTATGACAGCTGATGGGCCCACCTCCTCTGGGCCTCATGGGATTAGTCTGTCAACCACTATGGACGACGACGTCTTTATGGACGGGACCCTGAGGGAGGTGGAGGAGAAAACCCCTGAGTCCCAGGACGACGTGTCAGAGAGGTTGGTGGTGAAGGTCAGCCCCGGAGCTATGAGACAAGAAGTGTCCCAAGCCATCAGCGACAAGAAAGGGACGCTAATTATCCTGAAGGACGCCGAGGATAAATCAGACACTGAGGGCAAAGAGAAAAGTGCTGTCCCTGGAGAGTTTAAAGCTGATGAGCATGTAATGCGGATGGCTTCTAAAGAGGAAGAAATCCCCAGAGCAGACACTTCAGTTGTTACAGAAGCTCAAACTACAGCCGCCAAGATGCTGAGTCCGAAGGTGGAGATAAAAACAGACAGCATGACTCAGATTAAAGGCATTGACTCGCCTAAGAAGGCTATGGCATCATGGATCTCTGAGGAGGTGAAGACGGAGACTCCAGAGTTCATCAGTATGTCAACAAAGGAAGTAAAAGATATGAAGACTTCTGATGGACTACAGGAGAGAGCAGAAATCTTCACTTTCAAAGAAGTCCAGTCTGAGCAGTCAAAGTCCAGCCTGACTCAGATTACAGTTTCTGAATCTTCAACTACATCTTTAGTTGTGGTACTGTATGAAAACTAAAAGTAACTATTCAGTTTTGGCTGCCTCCCCTCATATCTCCACCACCACCACCCGCTGCCTAGCCCCATTTACTGCCTTCACTCCAGCAGCGACCAAACCGGTCTAATAACTCAAGCCCCGTGCATGGCTAACAGTCCCTTAACACCTAGCGTTTACACGCATTCTTGCCAAACCGCTGGTTTCTTTTGCAGTCGGGCCCGCTGCTTCTTTTTCAGTGCAGCTGCTTTGGGTTTGTTTTTGAGTTTTGTTGACAGCTAACAGCTTGCCTTACAGTAGCAGCTAACTCCCGCAGCTGATAAAGGAAGAAATTGGGTCTCTGTCTGTTTCTACAGCTCTGCTAAGCGACACCATTTCTTTCTTTCGGTTCTGTTATCAGTTCCCTGAAAGCGGTGACTTCATAGCCCTGGCTCGGTGCCACTGCTGCAGCTTTCATCCTCCAAAATCCCCTCTGCCTCATAAACAGGTCGGGGGGGGGGAATTGTATGGATCTACCCGAGAAGAGATTTCACTGTTCTTATGGAGCAGTTTTGAAAAGCAGATTAGTGGAAATTTGCTCCTAGTGGATTTAGTGATTCTAAAACCGGATTTTTGTTTAAAGGATTTAGGATTTGTCATAAGTCAGCACATTTAATAAGTTACATAATGGTATTCCATACAATCATTACATTATTTACTTTTCAGTCCCTTTTTTCCTTTTCCATGCTCTCTCCTTTGGCTCTTTAAATCCAGACTGTGACTTTTGACTGTTCCCTCTTCACCTCTCTCTCTCTGTTCTTGTGTCCATCCATCTTCCTGTCCCATTAGTCTACGTTGGAGTGTGTTTCCTCCTCTCAAAAGGTGACCACTGCTCTCTGGCCCTTACAGTAAATAAGTATTGGAACACAGGTTGTATGTAATTGTTGTACTGGTTGTACACGTGCTCATAACTAACAGTTGTTCCCTTTACAGGTTTGAATTTGCCCTGTGTGTTTGAATTTTGACATTATCTAATGATATAATTATCATTCACAGGCACCAGCTGGTCAGGAGGAGAAACCGGTGATAGAGACGGAGGCACTCCCAGCCAAGTCTGCAGGGCCATCGGTAAATATCCAGACCACAGAGGCTGTACAGGCCGAGCAATCGCACCCTACAGCAGAGCCACAAGCCATGAAAATGCTGGGGAGCTAAGCTTAACAGATGTAGAGGTGGAGGCACCGATGTTAAAAAATGGCAATGATGGGTTCAGATTTACTCTTCCTGATTATATTAGTGGTTATGGAAAGCAAGGAGAGCTGCCTTTAACAGAGGAGGAACCCGATGAAGAAAAAAATAAGAGGTTTTTGGAGTCTTTAGAAAAGAAGTTTGCAGCTTTTAAACATGCAGGGGAGAAGAAGCACACAGAAGTGAAGAACAGGGTTCAGTTCTCTGATGAGGTACAATTTTTCAAAGAAGAATTCCCCGTAAAGACAGAAGATGGTATGGAGGTGGATGAAGAGGTGGTGGAATGTTTTCCAGTGGCCCCTGAGTGTACAGAGGATGACTCAAAGAAACTTTCAGAGATGTCAAACCGTTTGCCGTTTGAAAAAGAGAAATATTACCATGTTAAGATGGAAAGCCCAGAAGATGAAACGGAGGAAGCAGAGGTTAAACCCTTGGCTGTAAAGAAGGGAGTACCTCACAAGTATGACAATAAAGAAGTGAATTTGCAAAAAATGGAAGAAAATGAGTCAGAAGGGAGAGGAGATATGATGGCATCAGAAGAAATTGTAGAGGGCAAAGCACTGGAAAAAGAAACTGAGGTGCGAGGCCAGACAAGCCCACACAAAGGGACTCTATCTGAACTCCTTAGGTCACACACACCAGCTTCCAATTCGCCTTCTGCTGTGCCTCGGTTGGAGGTAACATTGCATAAGCTTCAGACGCCTCAGCCTCATTATTACAGACTCACCATCTCCCCCCGCATCACGGCCCACCACTAGTAATCGATCTAGCTCTGCAAAACACATGGATTTATTTCTCAAGCTCCTAACTCCGCAGTTTGTTGCTGTGCAGATCAGCTGACCTTTTAATTGATGTGGTGCACACACTTGATAGAAAACTTGTGATTCCCGTTCTTCAGTGTCCTCCCCTGCACTGGATGAGGGACTAACACATGACTGCATGCTCTTTTAGAGATCTGAGGCACTCGGTGACCATCCTTGGCTTAGCTTATTAGCATTATTTTAGTCAATGTGATTTACTTATTTTAAGAACAGAAGCACACAGTTAACAGTGAACACCTGTAGCATTTGATTTCAGGCATAACATCTGACTCAGGTAGGGTGCTTTTCATAATGCTGGTCTTCCCCTGCAGGCATTTATTTGTCCCTGTTTTGTGTATTTGTCAAACAGAGTCCCGACATTACCGCAGTGGCTACCAAAGACATGCCCGTGATCCACACTGAGACAAAAACGATCACCTATGAAGCTGCAGAGGTACATGTGACCACAATGTGTGACTGTCGTAGTTATTGGATGGCAGTGATGGAGGAATAGTGTACGAGTTGGTATAAGAAATTTAGCAGTAGCAACAGCAGGATTTGAGGTGAACTGACAATCATGTTGCAGAGCAGCACTCGTTCACTGAGTGCAGTGTTTGCATTTGCCTGGGAGGTCAAATATTAACCCGACTTTTAGCGCCATTTTGCTCCCCACTACCTCTTGTGAGAAATGTTTGTTTTGAAGCTTAAAGCTGCATTGTGTTCAGCTGCTAGCTTCTGACTATCATCTGCTTGGTGAGCAGCCAGCATTTAATGGAGAACAGTTATCAGAAACGCAAAAAGAAAAAAGGTACAGCAGCTGTGACAGCAGACGACCAGTGAGAGTGAGTCAAAACACTGAAGTTACTGGAAAGTCTGAGCAGTAAGAAATGAGATAAAAACACATTTTTGAAGCTTTGTAGAGCTGATGGGAACTGCAGCAGTTGGAGTTACTGCAGCTTTAAAGCTCAACTATAAATTTTCATGGATTAGCGATGGATTAAGTCAGCGTTTGTTAAATGGGGTACTCGCATCCCTTAGGCATGCTTTTAAAAACTGCAGGGGGGTAAGTATGTCTACCTCTGCCAAGGATGTTATGTGATTGGTTCAGTTTGTTTGTTTGTTTGTTTATAGCAAAATTACTGGAAAAGTTTTGAAGGGATTTGCATTAAAATTTCACCAGAGGTGGAGCTTAGCACAACTTGGTGTGATTACCTGATGCAGTCAATCTGGATCCAGGAATATTTGGAAGGATTCTGTAACATTGCTACATGGGGCAACATTTAATTATTTATTTAGTACAAATATTACTGATTACTGGGTTACTGTTAAATGTGAAGTGTGTCACTAGTTGCTTTCCTGCCACCAAGAGAGACAAAGATTCTCACACAAGACAAACAGACTCACTGGGCTGAATAAACATGTCAGTGTTAGTACATTACTGCAGCGGTCCCCAACCCCCGGGCCTCGGACCGGTACCGGTCCGTGAGTCGTTTGGTACCGGGCCGCGAAAGTTGAGGCTCAGGTGTGAAATGTATTGTTTTTCAGGGTTTTTATCGGTTTTCAGCGTTATTTTGTTATCGTTTTTGTCGTTAACTCGGTTTTCCTGGGTCTTTTCGCGTGTGTTATGAATAAATCTTCTTTTTTTTCGGTACCAGTACTAGTTTTATTTTGTTGTATTTATCCGCGACACCTTAAAGGCCGGTCCGTGAAAATATTGTCGGGCATAAACCGGTCCGTGGCGCAAAAAAGGTTGGGGACCGCTGCATTACTGGGAAAAATGAGAAGCACTTGATTAAATAATTGTGCATAATGTGTGGCTCACTTAAAACCACCAAGAGTTATCGTCTGACCTGCAGTTTGTCTCACTGTTTGTCTTCAGCTGCAGACTTGGCTGAAACACACTACCTGCACAGCAACAGACACACACAGTTATCTACTATATGGTGGGAAAAGTCAACATGTAGCAGCATGCAGCACAATCCAGATAATTTTCTCAGGAGTTAGTTGAGGCTGAAACGTAATTGAAAAAGAACTAAACGTGAATGAGTTTGAGCTTTGAGGTTTCCACTAATCAGTATTTATTGGAATTTAAAGAAGGTAGTACTGCTGCTGTGTTTAGATGGTTTTATGTGCAGTGCTCATGTAGAGTGTTTTGTGTATCAACAGGTTGAGACTAACGGTGATGCAGACCCTGGAGTGTTGCTGAGTGCTCAGACGATAACCTCAGAGACCACCAGCACCACGACAACCACACACATCACAAAGGTCAGGGCACATCTGTTGTTGCTTTAGACCAGGGGTGTCAAACTCAAATACACAGTGGGCCAAAATTCAAAACTGGAACAAAGTTGCGGGCTAACATTAATATTTATTGAAAAAAAAAAAATCTTCCTCCAGATATAAGAATGAATCTTTTCTTATGGACTCAAACAAGTTTTGCTGAAAAACTGAATATGGAACAAGCAAAGCTTAATATTAAACAATATATATATATTAGCTGTATAACACCAGTAGGCCAGCTCTAATAGTAATTTGGTATGGCTTCGCGGGCCAAATGTAATTAGGCTGCCGGCCAAATTTGGCCAGAGTTTGACACCTATGCTTTAGACTCTTCACGCTTGTTGTACATCTGAGCGTCTCTCTTCTTTCTGGCAAGTTTCAAACCTGAATCGCTGAATAAGCCGGGAAAGTGTTCTCATCAAGTGATCGCAAGTGTGTGCCTGCCCAAGGGGATGAAAACAGATGCATATATCCATCCCCTGGTTTTTATTTTCATGAGTTATTACAGTTTTGTTTTTATCGGTGCTTTTAGTATTGTTATTATTATTATTATTATTATTATCATCATCATTAGTATTATCATCAGCTGCTTAAGCTACAAAAAAGGCCAAACAAGTTCAGATACCTAGATTAAGACTTTCTTATGACGAGCTGACGGGAGTATTGCAGTGACTGGCTCAGCTTCGGCGCCTAATAAGCTCATCACTGGACCCACTTCAGTTTGCCTACCAGCCTGGCATTGGAGCGGATGATGCCGTCATTCACCTCCTACATCGTTCCCTCGCTCACCTGGAGACCGCTGGAAGCACTGTGAGAATCATGTTCTTTGATTTCTCCAGTGCCTTCAACACCATTCTTCCCTCGGTTCTAAAGGACAAGCTGGTGAACTCTGGAGTGGACCATCACCTCACTACCTGGATCCTGGACTACCTCACCGACCGACCACAGTATGTGAGGACTCAGGGCTGTGTGTCGGACAGGGTCGTCTGCAGTATGGGGGCCCCACAGGAACGGTTCTGGCTCCGTTCCTCTTCACCATCTACACTGCAGACTTCTCCCACAATTCCACCCAGTGCTTCCTGCAGAAGTTCTCTGACTCTGCAATAGTCGGCCTCATCACTGATGGGGACGACAAGGAGTACAGAGGTCTGACCCAAGACTTTGTGGACTGGTGCCAGCTGAACTACCTCCAGATCAACGCCAGTAAAACCAAGGAACTGGTGGTAGACTTCCGCAGGCACAAGCATTCTCCACTGCAACCACTGAACATCCAAGGTATGGACATTGAGGCTGTGGACAGGTACCTTGGTGTTCATCTGAACAATAGACTGGACTGGACTCATAACTCAGACGCCCTCTACAGGAAAGGGCAGAGCAGGCTGTACCTGCTGCGGAGACTCAGGTCGTTTGGAGTGGAGGGCCCACTCCTGAAGAATTCTATGACTCTGTTGTGGCTTCTGCTATCTTTTATGGTGTGGTCTGCTGGGGCGGCAGCATCTCTGCTGGGGACAGGAAGAGACTGAACAGGGTGATCCGAAGGGCCAGCTCTGTTCTAGGATGCCCTCTGGACCCAGTGGAGGTGGTGAGTGACAGGAGAACGGCGGCTAAGCTGTCATCCCTGATGGACAACATCTCCCACCCCATGGAGCAGACTGTGACAGCACTGAGCAGCTCCTTCAGTGGGAGACTGCGGCACCCACGGTGTGGGACGGAGAGATTTCGCAGGTCTTTCCTACCCCACTGCTGTCAGACTCCATAATAAAGACTTTAACTGATCAAGCACACACATCCATACATATGCAATAATACTAAGTGCAATAATCCTTTCTGTCATCGTTGTATTTTTACTCAGTTGTATATAGTATTTGTATTTGTATTCTATTTTTATCTATTGTATATTTATTTTATTTTATTCTACTGTATATAGTATTTTATTTTATTCTATTCTGTACAGTTGTGTACTGTATTATTCTTATTGTATTCTAATTTTTGCCTCATAACTTTTGCACTGTCCACTCCTGCTGTGACAAAACAAATTTCCCACGTGTGGGACTAATAAAGGTTATCTTATCTTATCTTATCTTATCTTATTTTATGTGTTTTCTGTTGGTCAGACGGTGAAAGGAGGCATATCGGAGACAAGAATCGAGAAAAGGATCGTTATCACCGGAGACGCAGACATCGACCATGACGAGGTCTTTTAGTCCTTTCATACTGTTTCTCTGCTTACCCATACTCATTATTTTTCTCTTTCTGCAAAGCTGATTATTTGATTGTGTGGTAAATTAAAAAGGTCAAGTGCTGAGCGGTGACTTAGTAACCGTCAGGATATTTAGGACAGGAATGGGCTAACGTGACATTTTAAACAAATTAACTCATCATATGGCTTAACAAGTTCTGGACGTATAAGAAATGTGACTAAAAATGACTTCCCTGTTGACATACTGACTTACAATCCAACATCCCCGCTCCCTCCCTGCCTTTCTCCGTTCTCTGTCTCCCCCTGGTGATCCCTTTTGGCACTGCACTCCCGTATGTAGGCTCTGGCTCAGGCCATAAAGGAGGCTAAAGAACAGCACCCTGACATGTCAGTGACCAAAGTAGTGGTACATAAAGAGACAGAGATCACGCCAGAGGAGGGGGAGGACTGAACCAGGTAAGACAGCAAGGCCCCAAGTCCCGATCCCGGCGCTGTCCTGTTTAGTCTGGTTTTAATTTGGTTGAACTGGGCTTTGTTTTTCTTGTTTGTTCTTTCAAGCTGGTTTCCTCTCTTAGGCATGCTGCTTTTCCATCAGCACTTCTTCTCACTGGTGCAGATAGCCCTGTTTCTGTGGTACTTACAACTAATGCATCATGCTGCTGTCATTTCATTCCCCTCTGCAGGGAAAAGGACTGAAGATGCATGTGTGCACACAGGCCGGATATTACAGTCTCAATTCGTAATGACAAGGCTTAAAAACATTTACAGTAATGCTGCCGGCAGTCTCATGCAATCTAGTGCAATATGACTACAACACTTCCCTCTGCTGGAGAGAAACACAATGAACTTTTATTTGAGAGCTACAGCCATGTACTGTGTGTTTAAAGATGTCTTTACTCCCTTTTTTTAAAGATATTTTGTAAGTTTAAATTGCTGCGCTAATATTACAGTTTTCTAAATAAGAAGTGTATTCTTATTTATTTATTAGACACACATGTGGAAAAATGTTTGAAATTATGCCTGCATGTTGTGAAACATTGAGTGAAAAGATCTTCCATATATTGTTCTGCCTGCATTGTGGTAGCTCACAAAGAGCACAGGCAGGGATGAGCGATTAAATTCCAGCTGAACCGGCTTCCGCTCCGAGCCTGCGACTGCAGACGCGCCCGTATGGACTGAAATCTGATCTTGAGTGCACACAGATGTGCTTTGGTCTATTTTCAACTACGCTCTGTAAATTTGAAATTATATATGTTAGCTGAGGAAATCCTTGTGTACCCAGTTGTACAGGTCACAAAAAAGATTACATTTGGAGAAATTAATTTTTAGGGCTTTTTTGAAACTACTGAATATGCATGTGACATAAAATATCAGATTTAATCTGATTTGAAAGTTGTTCACTAATTGTTCTTTTAAAAACTCTATGAAAAGTTTGTGACACAAAGGCGAAAACTGCAATAATTTTGCAGCAGACAGCAGCCTGCTTTTCAGAGCCTGGGGTTCATCCCTGAGATGATTCTAGGGCACACTGTGACACACTTCTGCTTTCAGTTGCACTTCCCTGTTTTTGCACGAAGGGAAAAATAGGTCAGCAGTCCTTATGGCGTTTCAACAAACTCTGCAAATACAGCCATTTGTGTTTCAACTTGTCCACTGTGGGTATTGTGAGGATTTTCTCATGTGTGGAGCTGTTATAAAAGAACTTTGCATTTCACTGCAGCACAGCATGTCATTCTAGTTGCCTTTTCTCAAGCATTTATAGTCTCTGGAAAGTGCTCGCTGTCAAGTTTTACTCTAGTTCACCTTTTGGCAGTGAAACTTGTTCCTTTATCCTCTGACTGAAACGGTCCCAAGGCGCTGCGTTTGGGATGAGCGAGCGTGCATGTGTGTGCTTGTGTGACTCACCAGATGGGAATGCTTGACTTTGTTTCTGCAGCCTTGCCCTCAGTCCTGTGTTTGCGTGTGTGCTGTCTTATCTGAGTGTGCTTGAACAGCTCTGGTAACATGATAATAAATGTTTGTAGTGTTTTGGGTAGTTGTTGTTTCCCTTGGGTGCTAGATACACACAGAGTGGTGGTGCAACCAGAAAAATTGGAAATCACCATTTTCTTCCTTTTTTGTTTCTCATGTTAGGAACACGTCCACAATGAAGTCAAAATGTAACTTATATTGTTTTAAATTGCGTGAGATAGTTTCCTGTTTATATGCCATTTAATGTGGGTGTGAAGGATTTGATATCAACAGGTGGTGACTCAAGGCCTAGCTGTATACAAATGTTGGCCAATCGTAGCCATAGGGGGACCAGTAAGGGCGATAAAGTGTGACACAGTCTGACACTGGAAAAGAAGATGAAGGTGAACAAGTTTGACATTGCAAGCCAAAATCCTGGTTTTCCTTGTCCACATGTAAACACAGAACAGAGTTTCTGGGGGGGGGGAAAGCTCCATTTTCTGTGTGGATGAAAGGCCAAAACACATAGAATAAAGCCACGTGCATGCAGACAGACCGTTAGCAAAAAAATATACAGCCCAGCCTCAGGACAGATTGAAAAAGTGAAATGTGACATGGACACAAATCGCCTGTGACGGTCAACACAACCTGGAAACAAATGTCAGTTGGAAGCATGTTTACTTCCCGCAACAAAAACTGTTATGAGATGCCTCAGACGGGCGTCTTCATCAGGACAATGATGATTTCTTTTTTTCTTTTCTTTTTTTGGTGGTTTATGGTGGTTAAAAAAAAAAAAACAAATTAGTAGCTGTCAAACTGTGAAGCGCCACAGGTAAAAACAATAAACATGTTCTTCTTAAGGGAAAATAAACTAGTTTGTTAGTGTTACTATGTGATTTTAATGATTCCTAAATATTCCCTCCCCTTAACCAATAAATCAACGAGTGAAGATATAAGTAATGATAGCGCCTAACTTTTTAAAATAACTTAAAAAGGCAATATTATAAGGCCTACTTTTTGAGCTATTAGTGATGCGCTTGTTGTTTTTAACTTATTTACCAGCTGTCACTAAAAAAATACCTCAACTTTTCTAGTCTCCTAACCTAATAAAGTATAAATAACATTAAACATCACCAATAGGTGTAAATAGTTCAAATATTTACCACTTGTGACTGCTATGCAGATGTTTATGATTATTTGGTATTTGGACTTTGCATTCTTATTGCATTAGCATTTGTTGCATTTGTGATATTTTAGAGCCATAATAACTGAAGTTATTTAGTTATTGTTTACTTATTTCAAGTACCAACAAAGTGGAGCTGGGTTTAAGTGGAGGCAGTTTTAAATACAGTAAATAAAATAATAATTCTTAGTCGGGGGGACTAATGATAAATCATTTTTTTGTGTATACATCCGTGCTATACAACTGTGCTAGCTACTGTAATTAAAGTTCAGGGAAATTGGGTCTAAAGTGAAGTTGTTGGGTTTTTTTTTTTTTTTCTAAAAGCTACAAGCAGCTGCTGGTTGGGTAAAAGAGCCACATGTTTGAGACCCCTGGTCTAAACACGTGTAGGAGTTGTTGAATCCGTTGTCAGGATGGTACTTTTGTGGATTTCCTGTTGCCCGACTAGCCTGTGTGTATCTGTCTTGTATATTTGCATTTTTCTAACTTTTCTCTGAGCGTCTGTTTAACTTAACTGCCTTAAGCTGAAGTGAGGCTCATTTTCACTCTTTGGCAGAATGAACAGTGGCAGTAAATGTTCAGCTTACAGGATTCACTGACTTCTATTTCCTCTCCTCTTACAGGAATAACTCTGAGGGCTTTTCTTTTTTTTTTTTTTTTTAAACCTCTGCACCCTCCCAGAATCCAGCATCCAGAACTCCACATATAACGTCGGGACTCTCAGAAGACTAGAAAGGCCTCCTACTCTCCAAGTGCTGCAGCTCCGCCGCTAGTCACAGCCATCATCTGCAAAACAACTAAATGCATTTTGCATGAGAAGGAAGCAACGTTGCATTATCAAACAAGATTATACAGAAAACCATGTGATTCTCCAAGTGGTTCCTCAATCCGTCTGCACGCCAAATCCCTGTGTGCAGCAAGCAAAACCTTTTGCTTTCACTGCCTTATATGACTTTGATGCATTTTTATGATTATTGAGAATAATTATTGTAGCAACGTTTTATTTATGAAATAAAGCCATCACTCCGGAAACTTAAAATCGCTGTAGGCTGTATATGTTAGAGAGCGTACACTATTTAACCTCGCAGTAGAAGTGCCAACGTTATTTACAAGCAAGCATCGCCTCATTCCTTCAAACAGCTCCGTGGTTATCCAGCAGGTATGTCACTACAGAAATCACTACAGCTACGTACTGTACATATCAAAGCTTTCCTAGGAAAATAGCAAATTATCTTTCAAAGTTGATTTTTTTTTTTTTGTCATGTCTACTTGAATAGCATTTTCCTTTATATCAGTGTTTCATCATTTCTCATTGATTCCCCCACTTCAAGGTTTTTAGAGACTATGTCCTGGCAAAAAAGTCAAGGAATCAAAGGTTTCTGGGCATGAAATGGATTTTATTTGCCTGTGGAGGGTTTGTTTTTTCTCCAGGGTAGATGATCAGCTGCAGCACAAGTCCCAGGTTTGTGTGACTGTGAGGCAAAGGGTTCAGACTGGCGAGCTCTCCCCTGATTTACATTCAAAGCCAAGAGAGATCTATAATCCCCCTCCACTTTCGCCCACCCTGAACACATCAGCTGTGTTGCCCCCCTCTTATCCATTCTAATGTATCCAAAAAAATGAGTATTATTGATGTACAGCTGTGTTTTCCTCAAAAAGGTGCAACAAAAGTGGCAAGTGCATTTGTTTTGTTTTGTTTTTTTTAATTTGCTGGTCTCTTCTAAAATAATAAAAACCACCACAGTACTGAAACCTGTGTCAGCACTCATTTATGCCTCTTTAAGTATCAGTTTTTGTCATCTCCAAATATAGTTAAAATAGTGGAAATATGATTGAATAGTTGTGCTAATTTTAAATTATGTGTAACTTTGATTTTAATTTGATATTAAATTGTTAAATCTTAAAGTTTCACTTTATGGAAATATGCTAAAATCAATTAGGCTGAGCACACGGCAGAAACGGATCGATCTTTAAGCGGTAAAATCAAACTTAAGCAGGGTGAAATTATCTAAAAATGACATAATTAAAGTTAAATTAATGTTTAAATATGATGATGGGAGGCGGTTGAGGCTGTAAGCTGCAGCCCATCTATTATTTATGAAACCAAATGCTCCAAACCCTTAATTGACCTGTTAAAAGGAGAGCCCGCGGGCTAATTAAGACAAGCGTTGTGCAGTCAGAGGTAATTACTGTGAATACGCGGAAGCCCCGCCCCTCTGCGTACGTGCGGTTATTTCCCAATATTTATAGAGAGTAAGAGCGCTCACTCCGTCTCTTATTGTGTGAGTAAATGTGCATTTGTTACTAAAGTGCACCTCAGAGTCGCATGAATGTCACCACAGTGGTTACAAAGAATATTAATTACACACAGGATTAGAAATTTATAAAAAAAGTGAAAGTATTTCCAGGTGGAAGGAAACTTTTGAAACACTTAAAAATCTACAATAGAAATGTGTTTTTGTTTTTTGCTTGTTTATTGTTGTTTGTTTTTTTTTTAAAGAATTGTCACACATGTAGTGACAGTAGAAAACATGTGGCACAATGGTGCATTATGTAATTGTTTTAGCATTCTAGCCCACTTGAGACCACACTGGGCTGTAGCCTATGAACTAACACTCCTGCTGAACAATATTGGAGTAAACGCCCGTGGCTGCTCAATCTTCAGCATCATTTGTCCAGTATATCTACCATCCCTCCTGTCCAAACTATCTCAGCCTGTCCTCTCTAAACCACTCTGCCTCACGTATTCATTTCTAATCTTGTGAACGCTACTCTTAAATTTCAGCATCTTAATTAATAATAATAATGGATTGCATTTATATAGCGCTTTTTGGGACCCCTCAAAGCGCTTTACAATACCACTATTCAGTCACTCTCACATTCACACACTGGTGAAGGCAAACTACAGTTGTAGCCACAGCTGCCCTGGGGCAGACTGAAGCGAAGCGAAGCTGCCATATTGCACCATTGGCCCCTCTGGCCATCACCAGTAGGCGGTAGGTGAAGTGTCTTGCCCAAGAACACAACAACCGAGACTGTCCGAGCTGGGGCTCAAACCAGCAACCTTCCGATTACAAGACGAACACCCAACTCTTGAGCCACCGAAAAACAGAAAATTTTACGTGTGTGGTGGGGGGCAAAGGAGGGGCACATACCTCTTCAGCAAGTATGTGAAAAGCCCTACATGTAACAGAGTCAACAAAATATCCACAAAAACACTTTAAATCTATTTATTGTATTATTATCTCTTTTGAGAAAACAAAGAATTTTTTTTGTATAAATGAGACCCCCCTCCCCCCAAAAGTTCCCCAAAATAAATACAGAAAAAGAACTTAAATGACTGTACTGGGGTGATGAACATAAAAGTTGTGGTGGGCAGCTGGGGGCTGTTGCTTCCCCGTGCCCCCCTGTAGGTCTCCCCCTGCTAAAAGCTTATCAAAAAGAAAAGCTTCAAGCCCAGATGATACTTTGTGTCTGTAGGTAGGTTTTTGGACACCCAGGTTATGTCTAAGACTTGGACTGAAAGCGAGTGGACTTCTTTATGTTTCTTGAAGACATTTCACCTTTCATCCAACAGACTTCTTCAATTCTAAAACCAAATGGTGGAGAGTCCCTGGTATTTAAATCCTAGTGGGAATTGTCCCTTAAGGGGGTGTCACGTGTCTCATTGAGTGTCACTGTGTATCTGCATTTCTTGGCAATTTTGTTCAGTTAATATGAATAAATAAATACTTTTTGTAATCAAATGTTCTTAATTTTAACTTCAAGACGTGAACAGACGGACTATCTGATGGGTGTTTGCTTGTATTATATTTAAAAATCACCAATATATTCAGCACGTCGTCTGATTTCCTGCAGAGTGAGTCACCACCGCGTGTATAGACGATCTCGGTAGCGCGCTTCGCTCCGGTGCTGTAGGTGGCAGCAGAACAATGCAGCATTTCCTGTGGAGCCGCACAGTCACAACAAGAGGAGGAAGAGGAAAAACGACAGCTCTGGATCGTCGTCGACTGCCTTGCGTGACAACACAGGGAATCGCGTTCAGGCTTCGGGTAATAACATTTTTTATTTCCTCTTTGTCTGCTCGGGCGGCGCGGAACAGCGCGCGGCGGGTTTTTGGAGGTTTGTCGGTCTGTTCGCCGCCGTCTCCTCTGCTGTTTGTGAACTCAGTTAAAGGCACCAGAAACATGCCAATGGAGGCTTGCTGACCAAAATGGCTGGGCGCAGTGAAATGTGAAATATTCTTGCTAAGGTTATCCTTCCTGCACGCGACGCGACTGTCACGCGAACTCGGCGGTAAAACGCGCTTTTTAAGTGGAGAATAGTGCGCGTGTTTGTTTCTGCTGCCGTTACTTTTCTGTTTTTGCTTATTATTAGCGCTACTGCGGCTCTGGGCCCTGCCGTATTTTTTCTTCGGGGTTTCTGCATCGGTTGTTTGGCCACTTGTTTGCTCTCTTGTCTGTCGGGCGCTTATTTATGAACAGGTTCACCTTCGGTTGCAAGTTTCTCCGATACTTTGTTTGTTAGGCGCGCTGCATACGCTACCTGTATATATTTTCCAAAGTGGCATGCAAATAGAGCTCCACCCCTCAGCTGTGCAGGGTGCATGCATGCCCTCGTTCTTTGGTGGGAATCAAAATATTTGACAAGTTTGCTGATTTTTGTTTTTTTTTTTCCCTGCCCCCCTCTGCAGGTTGCTCCAGTTTGTCCTGCAACATGTCTGATTTACTAAGATATATCGACTATGACCACAAAGCCACCTTTCTGAAGATGCTCAACCAGCAGAGGTTGGAAGGTGAGCACTGTGATGTGGTGGTCGTGGTGGAAAACATAGAGTTCAGGGCTCACCGCTGTGTCTTGGCCGCCTGTAGCAACTATTTCAAAAAGCTCTTTAAGAAACAGAGCGACGAGGACAACTCCATCGTGGAGTTGGACTTCATCCGTTCGGATATCTTCGAGGAGGTGCTTAATTACATGTACACAGCCAGGCTGGCTGTGAGGAAGAAGGACATCAATATGATGATGTCGTCTGGTCAGATCCTGGGCATCAACTTCCTGGATAACTTGTGCACCCAGAAACGCGAGCTGACCAACATGAAAACGCGGGAAAACCAGGCTCCGGGTGACCATGGGATGAGAGCTCAGGATGCCATCCTGAAGGAGCTGGCTATGGAGGAGGTGAGGAAGAACAGCTTCTATGATCAGGGGATGGATAGCATGGGGCCCGGTGGCTCACACGTGTCTCAGCCGCACAACTATAACACCAACATGGGCAAAGAGCCGCACAGCCACACCTGGGGCTCATCGACCTCCAGCGACATGAAGCTGGAGTACCTGCTGTATGGCCACCGCGACCACGGCTCCTGCCAGAGCACGGGAGCAAAGCCCATGGACCACAACGCCAAAAAGGAGAGGCTGCTCACCGCCAACCGCCCTACGGCTGTGAGCACTGCCCCAAAGCCTTCACCACTGCCGCCCACCTCAAAGAGCATCTGAAGATCCACTCCGGTTTCAAGCCACACCGCTGCGTGGTGTGCGGCAAGGCCTTCATCAGGGGGCCCGACCTGAAGAGGCACGAAAGGGTCCACAGCAACGAGAGGCCCTTCGCGTGCCAAATGTGCGAAAAGGCATTCAAGCACAAGTCCCACCTGAAAGACCATGAACGGCAGCACCGGGGCGAGCGTCCCTTCAACTGCGGCTCCTGCGACAAAGCCTTCATCAAAGCGTCGGATCTGAAGCGCCACTGGAACACCATGCACAGCGCCAACCCCCGCAGACAGATGTCGCTGTCTCCCGCCGCCTCCCAGCAAGGCCAGGGAGACGCCACCGACCAGAGAGACTGGAAAATGGAGACCGGGCTACACTCGCATAACTCTGGGGACTGTTGAGCCTGCAAGCACACGTGCATACACTCACACACAGACACACATACTGACACGCAGACACACTTACATACAAATAAATATGTATACAGACTGACACAACCACAAACCTGTGACAGGCTGCGTGGCCTGACATCACATGAACAGCAATCGGAGTGAGTAACAAGAGATCATAGCATGTTAATAAGACTGTGGGGCTGTATTATTATTCTAAAGAGTTATGTCAAAGCGATGTTTCCTTTCCACCTGTAAAATCATGTAAATGTTTAGTTCACACTCTACATATATTTTTCACAAAGCATTGTTGCTATGTAGACTGAGGGTTCTCATAACATTATTCTCTTTTACTTTAATGGGATATGTAACATTTAAATGTTTGTTTAACCTTTACTGGATTTTATGGAGATGAAACGAGAGAGTGTAATAGAGAAAGGGGGAGGGCGGGGAGATATTTCTGCATAACATTTGTTGCATTGAGTATATTCACGTGGATGTTTTTAATGGCTGTGTTTAGTTGTATTGATTGATATTACACTGTAAGAGTAAGAGTCACCATTTTGCATTCAGCGCAGATGATACCAAAGTCTTGGGACTCTTGATGGATCGCCTTTATTGAGGTTGTCCTGCCCAAGCAACCGGCCAACTAGATTTACTGTTATACAGTATAACTGTCATCCAGCTATCAACAGTTAATGATAGATGTCTGTATATACTGTAGCTTAGTTTGTTGCACAATTAGAGTACACAATAATGAATTATGCACATATAACATTGTCCTACTCCAACACTTTGACAATAAACACCATTTGCTGTGTTTTATTGCTTTGTCAAAGGGGTTTTTTGGAAGGTAGAAGCGAGCTGAGCATGCTC